TCAAATTTAGTTCCTTTTTTTAATCAAATTTCCCATTTTCCTAACTTTTTCATTGACTTCTATTTTTCTCTCAAACGTATATCTCTTTCTCTCTCCCTAATTTTTTTTCAATAAAACTTCAATTGTTCTATAAATTGCTTTCCCTCTCTTAACTTTGGTGATCTCTATAAAATTTTTAATTCCCTCCCTCGAAATTCCTCTATAGATTTTCTTTCTCTATCTCGAATATTACTCTTTCTAATCTATATATCTCCACCTGCCACAAAACAATATACTCATATACGCAAAACCGTATATTTCAAAAAAATATACACGAATATTACTCTTTCTAAAATCTTTTTCTTAAATTATGTATTGCCCGACGGTCGCAGAAAACAGTCGGGAGAAAGTAACTAATGTCGACGGTTTTTCAAAACCATCGCCATATTTTAAAAATTAATTTTTTAAAATCATATAGCTCGAGGATTTTCATATACCATCTGGAGTACTATCTTTTTCGGACTGTTTTTGGTTGGGTCTGAAAAAAAAAGGGTTAGAAAAGACAAAAATTCTTGTAGTATAAAATGATTTTTCTCGCGATAAAAGGCATTTGAAATTTTTTTAATCAAATATAAAAAAAATAAAGTCTTAAAAATTTTGGTTGAAAATTTAGAACTATATTTTAAAAATTAGACGAGAAGTTATTAGTAAATATATTTAACTTTTTAACTGTCAAATGGTAATTTCAGTTTTGTGACATGATATCTGTGTTTGAATTTTGTATGCAGGTGGGGTTATTGTAAATGGGTGAATGTCATCTTGGTGGGATCTTCATTTCTCAATAAAAATAGTGTTCTTATTTATAAGTATCTCTACATGAAATAAATAAATAAAAGCAAGCTATGAGGGAGAGAATATTATATGTATGTCTCTCTTTTTCTTTTTATTGTTCTGATTTTATTTTATTTTTTTATGTTCATCTTAAATAAAAAGTTAGAGAGTTCTAAATATCATGGATTGCTCTCCTTTTTCCCCTCAAACTTGAAATGGGTTGTTTACAATTATTAAATTTGTTTACTTGTGTATTGTTTGATCCAAAAATGGTCAAGTTCGGAATCCACGTAGGTCAGCACCTTGCTCTCCAAAGAAAACTCTTAGAATGTCAATGGATTCGCGTACCTTGCATAAGGGGTAGGCATCTCTATTTATAGGGATGATGTCCAATAGGACTCCCGACAATGGGAATTAACGGTCATCCGACCGTCCGTGAAATGCGGCGTGTTGTAGGATTAACATGTTATTTAACATTCCCGCGGACATCATTGCATGGATCGGCTTTGACCTTGGAGGTCGGCCAATGATGCACGTTGTCAAACTCAGCTCGACTAACTATTCCGACCTGAGGAGTCTCGCACAAATTATCATAATTAGAAACATCTTTAAGTTGAAGGGATCGAATCCCGTAAGTTGAAGGGATCGAATCCCGTAGCGGAAACACGCAAACGCGTGTGCTTCAATCTTGTTTTAGAATTACAACGAAGAAAAAGACATAAGCAATATGATTAAAAGGAAGATATATAGTGAAACATACCTTTGAAGACACCTCTTCAATGTAGACACCAATGCCACCACAAAGTCTTCCTCGATATCCTCTGGATGTTAAGAACTCGGTTTGTGGGAACCGTCTTATAATTGAGAGGAAAATGGGGAGATCAAGAGAGAAAATTTCTCATTGGAGTTTCGAAAACTCAACAACCGAGGATCAGGGAACTTCCAAAAAGAAAATGGGAGAACTCACTTTTATAGGGAATGAGGACTGAGGGGGAAGTCATCAATTCCCCACCCACTTCCCCACTTTCCACCATGGGAAAACCTCCCAACAATATGAGATTAATTGATTAAACTCATTAACCATATTAATCAACATTCATTAACTGTCGGTCACTCCACTAAAAACCCACAGTTGCACTCTTCTCACTGTAGAATATTTTGTGTCCATGGATTTTGACTATTAATTGTAAGTCAATCCTTGTTTGTAACCATAGTTGGATCAAATTACTTTTTACCCCTATGTTACATCTTGGACCTTAAGTACCGCTGATCCTCTAATGAACAACCTGGTTATGGTCCAACCAATAACCGGAAGTCCCTCTCGGGCCAGTGAAAGGGTGGGGGCCACTTGTTCAAGTCTCGAAGTCAGCACTTAAAAGAACACTCATCTACTTACCCTAAAGTCGGGAATTAGTGAATTTCATCTTGTGTAGTTATGTTCACAACTCTCCACTCAATCTCGTCTCCAAAATAGTAGGAATATTGAGTCGACGACTCGGGCCACTCTCACCCATATAAATGACTTGAATGAATATTTGTTTTAGCTTTTTTATGTTGACATATGACAGGCAATAATTTGCCCCTAATTAATTGCTAGGTAGGTGGTCATCATGGATTATTAGATTTTGTATTTGAAGCAATTGAATTCAATAAAATCCTATTTGTTAATTTCTCTATTTTTTTAAGTTTAGGATCATTGACAATAGAATAATAACTCATGTATATTATAAATTTTTGTTAGATTCATTATCTTTTCAATATGGCATCATGATATGAGTTAATTGTGACCTATTTGCCATTTTTTTAAACTTTAAGTTGGTATTATTTAGGGCCAGATGCTACATGTGTAATTAGGAGTTTTCAAAAGCTTCGATGAAAAATTATGAACCCAACCCAATCCAATCCGTATAATAATTTGTATTGATTTATAAGCTTTAATAAACCTTTTTTTTTTTTTACTTTTTTAGCTTTTTGCATTTAGCTTCTGTAAATTATTTATCTTTTTGTCTCTCTTTAATTTTTCTTCAAAATGCTATTGGTCTTAGGTTCATCTAGTACAAACCATATGCTGACTTGGCATTCCGTTTGGCATTCCTTCCATGGATTTTCAAGAGTAAATTTTCTTAGAGATTTCAAATCACTTAAAACATTAATAAAATAATATTCACTCCATGAATTTTATTTCATCTTTGAAAAACTTTATATGTTCGAACAACTTTTACTAGTTCCCAATTCCCATACATAAATTCACCTCCTAGACAACCTTAAATTAAATTTTTGTCTGTTTCCAACACACGTGTCTTTATGTTTCCCTCCCATCACCCTAATTCCACCCTACACATTTTCCTGCGTGTCAATTGCATGTGATTACGTGGACATTATTTTGTACACTCTCTTCTACCATACATCTCCACGTGTCGCTCTCCCAGTCCCCCAATCCCCTTTATAAACTATAATTTATATCCTCATCCAAAAATCTCCATTATCTTCCATTTTTACTCTCTCTGTGCAAATCTAAAGCTCGAGTTGTTTTCAGTGATTGCTTCCAATGGCTACCGAAGGTCAAAAGTTTGCTCCTCAAAAGCAACCAACGCAGCCGGGGAAAGAGTACATCATGGACCCACCTCCTCAGTTCTCAAGCTTTCAATACAAGCCCTCAAATAAGCTTCTCGGCAAGGTATTAAATTTTCATTGATACATGTCTACATTTTTATATGTTTATGATATCGATAGGGTGAATCGGTGTCTATATTTTCATGTGTTCGTGAGTTCGACACCGACATAAGGATGAATCGATATTTTTTAATATCGTAAATAAAAAATCGATAAAATATATAAAAAAAAAGTCAAAATAATATCCAACATAACATCACTAATATGGAAATATTAATAATTTTTAATTTATTTAAAAGATTAAAAATTGTAAAATAATTATGTTAATTGAAAATTTTGTTTTTGCAAGATTGTTAATCTATTTAAAAGTTTAAAATACTTACTTGTTAATTGAATACGATTTTGTTTTTGCAATCACTTGTTAATGGAATATTCGTTACAAATTATTTAAAAATTCTATTTGACATCGATGCCATATTTAAAACCTTGTTTCTCGACAAGGTGGCATTGGTGACAGGTGGCGACTCGGGGATCGGGCGAGCCGTGTGCCACTGCTTCGCACTCGAGGGCGCCACTGTGGCATTCACCTACGTGAAGAAAGAGGAGGAGAAAGATGCTCAAGATATGCTTCAGATGCTGCTGGAGTCTCAGGCCGCCAACGCCAAGCGGCCGATTGCGATTGCCGTCGATCTGGGGTTCGACGATAATTGCAGGAGGAGGGTGGAGGAGGTGGTGGCCGCTTACGGCCGGATTGATATTTTGGTAAACACCGCTGCAGAGCCGCACAAGGCGGAGTCGGTGGAGGAGATTGATGAGCAGAGGCTTGAGAGAGTTTTTAGAACCAACATATTCTCACAGTTCTTCATGGCCAGGTAGCATTTCAAGCTTTAATACTTTAGTCTATAAATTTTCTGCTTTATTTATAGCTTGGTTACTTAATATTTAAAAATAATTATTTACTTTGAACACGTATATTTACATAGCCGCTTCCTACAGAACCTAATAGATTAGATTAATAGAATGGTACACGAATATTAGTTGTGACAATAATAAAAACTCAATAGTATCTCTTGATGTTCAAAAAATATCATAAGACTTAAATATAATATAGACTATAGAATAGTTAAATAAAATAATCTAAAATCCCATAATAAAAATGTACATCATATCTAGCTAGATAGGGAACAAGAAAGAGTAAGACAACTTGTGATTGTAGAAATTAATTTTTTTTAAAATCTAATAATTAGATAAAAACTTTGAAAAATATAGTTTCAGAGTTATAAACTCATTTTATTTTTTACTAAAATTAAAATAATATGAGTAAAAGATGAAATACAAAATTTTATAAATTTTATAATAGGTAAAATAATTGTTATACAAAATTTATAACATATATATTAATTAATCAATTATATTTTAGATTAAATTAGAATTATATTAATTTTTAAAATAGAAATTCAATTTCTAAAATATGTTACTAGAAACCTAATTGGTTAATTTTATTTTAGATTAAATTAGAATTATATTGAAATTCAGTTTCTAAATTATGTTACTAGACACCTAATTGATTAATTTTATTTTAGATTAAATTAGAATTATATTAATTTTTAAAGTTGAAATTTAATTTCTAAAATATGTTACTAAATACTCATCTGAAACCACGGACAGTAAACTTTTCATTGGATCTTTAATAATTTTCAAATTATAATCAGCAAAAGCTAGGTATGTTCATGGGCCCGGCGGCGTCCCCATCCCTCCCACCATTTATCCCCACGAGAAATTCATCCCTTTATTCTTTTTACTTCTAAAATTATTTCTCAACATTTTTTCCAAGGAAATTTATAATTAATTAATTAATTTTCAATAATAAATATTTTATTTACGTGATCTACGTATTTGAGATATAATCTTTTTAGTATCTATCTAAGTATAGAAATAATAAAAAGATTATTTTAGTATATGCATATTTTAAAAAAGTGCGGGGCAGGACGGGCAATGGGTATCGACGGGAACGGGGATGGAGATGCATTTCCCACCCGTCACAGAGAAAAAATATTTTTCCACAGAATTTAAATGGAGATTTTCAGTCTCATTTAGGTGGATCTTCACAGGATGGAATCCCATGGAAAGAATGAACTTCTCTATCAAATCAAATCTGTCGTAGTGAATGATCTATTAGTTTATAACAATATTAGACACCGGTTGTTTTCAAATTTCAAATTACAAAAATGTGTCGTAGTGAATGATCTATTAGTTTATAACAATATTAGACACCGGTTGTTTTCAAATTTTAAATTAAAAAATGTGTCGTAGTGAATGATCTATTAGTTTATAACAATATTAGACACCGATTGTTTTCAAATTTCAAATTACAATCAAACCAGCAATAGAATCTCTTGTTTTGAAATTACAATCAAACGTATCGTAGTAAATGATCCATACGTGACAATACAAAAATTACGCCAGTCCATTGAGATATGGCATGGCTACAAGTGAATATTTGCGACAAGAAATGAATCCTAATTTTAGGATGACTGACCCTTTTAATCCAGTCCATATAATGTCTTTTTCGGGAGCTCGAGGGGGCGGATGCTCCTGTAGGTAGGAGCAACTTCACTTTCGGTGTTCGGCGCCGCTTTCTAAAATGATGAATATGAAGTCACCGAGTTAGTGGCTGACTGGGCTTTTTCCTAGATCAAAGCATATCAGCTCGCCTTCTTGTTATCCAAAAGTCGGTCGAATCGGGCGGGCCCCCGCCCCGGAACGATGATCCATATGTGACAATACAATATTAGGCACGCGCTGAAGCACATGAAGGAAGGCAGCTCGATCATCAACACAACATCGGTAGTCGCCTACAAGGGCAGCCCACAGCTCCTCGACTACACAGCGACAAAAGGCGCGATCGTTGCCTTCACCAGAGGTCTGGCCCTTGAGCTAGTGAGTAGAGGGATACGAGTGAATGGAGTTGCACCAGGTCCGATATGGACGCCATTGATCCCGGCATCGGTCGATGAAGAAGAAGTCAGAAGGTTCGGGTCTCATGTTCCGATGAAACGAGCTGGGCAGCCCGTGGAGGTTGCTCCATCGTATGTGTTCTTGGCCTGCAACCACTGTTCTTCCTACTTCACTGGTCAAATCCTCCATCCCAACGGTAAGTTTCCATGCAAACCAACAAAACATAAATTTTTTAACTTTATTTTACTCCATAAATTTTTATATTTATATATTTTTTTAATTTAATCTAGATTATTTAAATAGTTTTAATATAAGAAATTTTATTCCATAAACTTTTATATTTATATACTTCTTTTTATTTTTTTTAGGTAATATTACTTCTTTTAACTTAGTCTTAGACTATTTAAAAAGTTTTAATTAATATAGTGTTCCTAATGGAATAGGTAACAATGAATAAGCCACTAGCCACGATGAGTATAGTGTATATAATTATTATAAATTATAATAAGATATGTACATAAATATACTTATCATGATTCTAATCAATCATGATAGATTATTTGAATCATGCAATTTTTGGATATCAAACGGACCTCCCCAGAAGGTAATTTTAATGCCTTGATAGCTGGAAGTTCTCCAAAAGTATGAAAAGCTGGAGGACTTTGTTTTCTTATATGTTCTAGAATGATTTCCTATTTTTTTAGTTCAACACGTGGGTGGGACAATCCCACAACCTCTTAGTTAGAGATATATTTTAGTTCAAATGGGGTGGGATTCGAACTCACAACCTCTTGATTAGAGATATATGTCAATTACCGTTAAACTATGCTAGCTTTTGAAAGATTTACATTTTGTTTAACCATGATACATTTTGTTTAACCATGATACATTTTGTTTAACCATGATAGATCACACATATTTACACCGCCATGATAGATCACACATATTTACACCGGTTAATATTGAAATTGGTTTATCATGAGATTACACAACCTATTATTTAATTTTTAATCTCTATTCTAAATTTTTAAGTAGATAATTTCTTTTCTCCTTATCTTTTTTCTTTTTACCAAATTTAGTTAGTATTATGTCACGTGACTCAAATTTTAACATTTTTTTAGTGTAAATTAGAAAATCTTAAAATATAAAGAGATTAAATTGATATTTTTAAATAATAAAAACTAATTTGAAAAAAATACTTTAATATTAGGACTAAATCCCTAATAATAATATTTAGTTTGAAACGTATTTAAAATTATTTTTATGTTATTGAATGATTTTCATACTTATTTTTTTAATTATTATTTAGTGTACGTAGTCTCCTTAATTGGTTTTTGCTTTTATATTATTTGTCCAAGAACTTAAAATGTATTTCTTGGAAAGGTTAAAATAAAACAGAGATTTTAGGCTCTTCTAGGTTTCTTTTAATATATATATATATATACTCGCAAAAATTCATTTGTTGGGATTTTAAAAAACAAAAAGATTTGTTTAATTTTTTTAAAGCAAGTTTAATAAGAAATAAGGTTAAAAAAATAAATTATTAATAAATAGATCTAGTTTTTTTAATCATTTGATGATGCCTTCATTTCTTGAATATGATTTAATTTGTGTGTGAATATGCAGGTGGGACTATTGTGAATGGGTAATTATAATGTGTGTTGAATCTTCTTCCTAGAACGGCAGGCTGGCTGTGTTCTTCAAAAAATTATTTTAAAAAAAATGGTGTTCTTGTTTATAATTCTCTCTTTAGGGGGAAAAAAGTGCTATATATGTGTGCTTGCATCTTTCTCTAATGTGGTGGAACTGTGTCTATATGTGAATCCATCAAATAAAAAATATAGTTGAGTGGCTTCTAAATTTATTCCGGTTTGTTTTGGTAAATTTGAAGAAAGATGTATTTCATACTTTCAATCGAATTCATATAATTTTTTGTTTATGTTTTGGAACAAATTGAAAATGGAAATAATAAAAGAGAAATTTGTTTCTGTGGTTCTTATAATTGTGAGAAAGAATCTTCTGAAAAGAGGAGAAATAAGAAAGAAAGTTAGCGAAAGTTAGTGGTAAAATATTTAGATTTCTTAAAAAAAAGTTGAAAATGAAAAAAAAAATAGAAACGTGACCAAACAGTGTTCACAATAAATTATTTGGGACGTGTGGGTTTTTTGGCATTGTATTTAGGTAGACCATCTCGTTTGTTAAATTTTTTTATGACCTAGGTAGAGATGTAAAAAAGAATTTCTTTTTTACTTTTTTTAAAAAATGATGTGTTGTGCGAGGAGAAGATCGATGCTGGTTGGTTGGATCGAGACAAGAGGAGGAGAGCCGTTAAAGATTAATTTTTTCGTATTTTTCAAAGAATGATGATGACAGTTGGTGTCAAAGATTTTTTTGGTAACATTTTTGTTTTACAATCCTACTTAGTTGTAAAATGCTTAAATTTTTTTGTAACGAGAATTTGTTGTAAAATGCTTAAATTTCTTTGAAATGAGAAATAAGGATTGAGAACCTTACCAAACGTGTGATATGTCGATTTTTCGTTAATTTTTAGTGGCGATTAGATTGGTCAACATATTTTATTTTCACTTTGATTGATACTTTTTTTTAAATGTGTGGTTTTCTTTTAACTTGGTTAGATGTAATTGATGTTATGTTTAGGGACTAGTTTGTCTACACGCAGGGGTACAAATATGTATTAGTATTAATTAACTGTCTACTGTTCACACATTACTTGTACATCTTTATTTTCTTTTTCCATGATTTGTGAGATTTTTCCAGCTCGGCCTATACTTTTATTTTATTTTATTTTTTGTGATTTTCCTATTCAATTAAAAAAATTTTACAAATTTTTTATACAAATATGTCAATTTTTAAAAAAGGAAAAATTATAGAATATATAAGTTGGCGGAACTTTAAACCCGAATTTTAAATTGGATAGTCACTACATACTTTTTGAAATTATATCAATTTATACATTATTTGTCGTTTTTTTGGTCTAATTGTTTTTTCCTATTTTCGAAAAATTGATTGAAAACGGGAACCAGAAAAAAAAAATTGTTTCTAGAGTTGTATACAAAAGTTAAAAAATATTTTTGATAAATTTAATCTGTAATGATTTAGTCCATATATTTTTTAATTTGTAAAAAAATTAGTTCCAAACTTTAATAGATGACAATTTAGTTTTTGTAATTTACAATTTATAACGTTTTAGTCTCTATTTTGAAAAATGTTGTTACTAATTTGAAAATATACAGACTACACCAAAAGTACAGAGATCAAGTTATTTAACTGTTTATTAATTATTGATTATTTATCCTAAGCAGCATGCATTGTAAATTTAAAATTTCGATAAAGATTTGATTGGTAAGCTCCCAATGAATTTTATTATTTCTAAAATTTGTAAACAATTTTGGAAATTTTTCTGAGAAATAGAAAACAAAGTTTCAATTTTTCATATATCCCAAATTTGTTACAATAAAAAAGGACAGGAAAAAAAAACCCTCGAAAACTAAGAACAAGAAGTATAACGTTATCAAATGAGCTCTGGATAAAGATAAATAATATTCTACCGTGACTGCATCTTGTACCAACGGGTACGTAGCTATTAAAATCAAACCAAAGAACATGGAATGAAAGATGTCAGTTGGAAGCTTACTCTTATTATTAAGAAAGAACAACAGAGATACAGAGAGACACCAAATCCATTTAAACACAGCAGACATCAAAGTTTCAGGTTACAGAGATTTTTTTTGATGACTGAAAGAAGAACAAAAACTTGCAGCACTGGCTTTGCAGTAACATTGTTCATTCAGTCATGTTTGGAAGGCCATATTGCAATCTCCGAATAACCATCTTCGGTCGCACAAGCTCGAAACATTCCAGTCGTATTGAAAGGCATGGTGACTTCACCGGAGGCGGATACGGCGACCAGGCCGACATTGCCTCTAGGAACAGTTTCAACAGCATAGGCTGCTGCTTCTTTGAGAGATAGACCCTTGAACTCCATCAGAGCTGCCACATCCCTTGCCACAGTACCGCGTATGATGGCTTCGCCTTTGCCGGTTGCAGAAACTGCACAGAGATTGTTAGCATACGTCCCGGCCCCTATTACCGGAGTGTCGCCGATCCTACCGACCATTTTGTTCACTAATCCCCCGGTTGAAGTTGCAGCAGCTAAATTCCCATGGTTATCAACAGCCACACATCCAACAGTTCCAAGTTGACTGTCACCGTTCGGAATCTCAGTTTCTTCTGCTGGGGCTTGTGGAATTGGTTGTGTATAATCAATCTATAAGGGTTCAGAACAGCTTTTAATATACAGGGAAAAATAAATAATTACCAATTTGGTTCCTATAGTTGGGTTAAACATCACAAATCATCCCTACACCGCTTTTAACCCACCTGAAAACCTACCCGTTTCTCCTATTTCTTACTTAGCTCCGAACTTTAATAATCAGTCAACATAATTAGTCAAATAGAAACACCCGCTCATTAGTCATTACTACGTAAATAGAAAATGTCATGTATGCAATAATAGTAATAAAATTGAAACTTTTAAGACCTCAAGGATCAAATTCAAACTAATTTTGAGGACTAAATTGACACTTTAACCAACAAAAACTACTGGAAACTCCATAATATGACTTTATCTAGCCTATTAGATGTCTAATCTGATGCTTCAGGAAAGGGAAAACAAAAAAAAAAAACAAACCACCAGTTAAAATCCATGTTTGGGTTAAAAGAAAAGCAACAAACCTGCACTCTGTTTGCCTCTTTAGCTTGTTTTAGCCTTTCAATGTTCTCTGGGGTGATAAAGTGGCTTGAATCAGTGGTCTCCACTCCCTTGACAAATTTCAAGAAAATTGACCACATAAGAAATCAGTGCAAATTGAACAGCCACGAAACACTAGCTATCTATTTAGATTGAAATTTCTAACTTGTTCCCTTGCAAAAGCCTCGGCTCCATCAAATCCCAGATATATATGAGGAGTCTTCTCCATTACAAGTCTTGCTAAAGATATGGCATTAACAACAGTGGTCAGCCCAGAAACGGCTCCGCATCTCTTCGTACTATCCATGATGCTTGCTTCCATTTCAACGGTGCCATTGGTTGTTAGGACAGAGCCCCTACCTGCATTGAAATGTGGATTGTTTTCGAGCTCTCGAACCTGTAGGAGGACGAATTCAGACTAACCATCTAACCAAGGAAAGTGTGATGCATAATCATAACATGATTATCAAGTCAAAATAATCTATGAAACAATACTTATACGACGTTAAATAAGGCGGCAACCATTAATTGAGGTAACCAAGCATTGTATACAAAGAAAAGGGTCGCGCTTTGAAGGTTTTTTCAGAGAAAGGAACAATTTCATTGATGATATGAAATTACAAAAGTGTCTCTAAAAGGGATTACATGAAATTACAAAAGTGCTCCTAAAAGGTATTACAGAAAGCTTTTCCAGCTGAACATGAGAGAGGAAAAGTTATAGTTGTGAAAAATGAGAGAACATTTACACCAAGAAATAGCCAAAAAAATAATTGATTCTATAAACCGATCAGAGGAGAGATCTATTAAAAATGCGCTGACTCCACTGGTCACACTTGAAAGTAAAAGTGAACAAACGAAACAGGAGAAGGTTTAACCTATCAAGGCTGTGGATTTGCTAACCCCACATACCACTAAACTAAGCTTTCGTCATGGTGGCCACGGATTGTGTTGGAAAGAATAGTTAGACTTGAAAATAAAGGTCATTGAAACAGGAGGTGTTCTCCCTATTTCAGATAATCTAGATCATTGAATGAGTTAATAATCGGTATGAGACGTTTGATTCATGAGTTAGATTTGTGTAACTTGAAAGTAAGAAGCCAAGTTGTTTAGGATATGGGTTTACATAATATAGCGCCATAGGCTATGGGTTTGCTAATCTTGTGGACTATATAATACAAAAATCCAAATTACGTAGGCCAAAACTTATGGAACTCACATTTTACAACTTCCTGCTATTTTTTGTTTATAGAAAATACCGACCACTCTACAGATGGTCTGAAATTACAACATGGAGTTGTAAAAGTCAAGCCTCGGGCTCAGACAATGAAAGATCACAAAAAACCCTTCAATTTGGGGAATAGTTCAACTAAACAAAAATTGAAAGGTGAAAGATCACAAAAAACCCTTCAATTTGGGGAATAGTTCAACTAAACAAAAATTGAAAGGTGGGTTAAATTTACACCATGTTAGAGCTACACAAAAAGAAAAAAGTTGTGCATATGAGTTTCCTTCATTAAAAGTTCCATGTTTCTTTCCAATCAAAGATTTTATAATGAACTATAGAGATGGCGCGAAAGAATCCTTTTGCCCCTGTTGAAGGGGTTGCATAAGTTACACAACCCAAATTTCTATAACTTATTCCTTCCAACTGCAGATTTCGTAAATCCGAACTCGTTAAACTGTGACCAAACATCCCATAAGATTTTGACATTTGTAATTTCTCTGATTTCCCATCAACAATCCATTTCCACACTAAACAGCCATTAGTGAATGAGCTAAAACAACTTGTTTGTTCAGAAAGGCAACGTCAAAAATAATATAATACCAAACCCCAAACCCCAAAAGCTAGTACTTGCTCACTGCTATGTTTAAAGGGAAATCACAAGCAAATACTAAAATGAACCAAATTGAAAAGTAAATACAATCTCCAGATTTACAGAAAAGAATGACCTTCATCAGCCGAGTTTCAGCAAGTAGAAAAAAGGCAAAACAGGAAATTGAGAAAAGAAAGAACATGGAGGAAAGAAAAAGATTAGAAAGAAAGGAAAAAACTAAAAAAGTTAAAAGCCACATTTGATCCTTATTCATCTAGTCCCTAAACTTTACTATCTAGTCTTGTAGTTTAAAACCAGTACTCATCCGAGCATAGCTTAGTAGATAAGTCATATATTACCATCTCAAAAACCAATAGTTCGATTCTCATCTTGTTAGTACCTGTCAAGAAGAATCTAATAGTTCGATTCTCATCTTGTTAGTACCTGTCAAGAAGAATCTAGTCAATGTGAAATATCGATTTTCAATGTATAACCATTTAGTCCTTGGACATATATTTGGTATCAGTGAGTAAGAAACCTTGATTACACCTTATCTCAAATTTTAAGGCAAGCACAAATTCATTACAAATTTTAAATTAAGCGACTAAATCTTCCTCACAAACCTTAGACAATAGGACTAAATCATTTCATATTAATCTTGAAATTAAAAACAAAACAAAACAAAAAATAGAAAGAAAAAGGAAGTCCATATTGCTCACCACAAGTTCAACAACATCCAACGGAGGTTTGTGGGCTTTGAGAGCTTCAACGCCTACACTGAGGCAGTGGCGGAGGGCTTCCTCGCGCGGGTGGCGGCGGTCCGGCGGCAAGGTGAGTGGGATGTCCCCGGCGCCGCCGTGGAGAGCTATTGCCCACCCCATTTTCCTCCCCCACCCAACGGATTGAACTGCAGATCATTCGCCGGCGAAGGGTTGATGGAGAAGAATGATTACGGTACATTTATTGATGGTTTGAAGAGCGGAGTTGGTGCAACGGTTCCACCATTGACGTGCGCGAGCCGTTTGATCATTGACGAGTGACGTGCAGATTGAGAAGATCGCTGTGTTCGATGTATTGGAAACTGGACAGGATATTATTTTGTTTATCATTGAAATACTACAAAATGTTAGGGATTGGTTTATCAAGGGAATTTATTGTACTAAAAAAAATTTTTAAATTCCTCAACCAATTTAAACATAGTTCTATCTTGCTAAGGTATATATTGATAAATTGAATCTCCAATGTCCAAGAAATGAATAAGAATAAGATTTCTTAAATCATTGAGTTATGTTTATCTTAAACTTTACAAGTTTGGCTTATAATATAATGTTTATAATTAATCTTTGAACTTTAAGAATATATCTAGTTAGATTAAAGATCTTTACTTGATCTTTCAATTTTAGATCTATTATGCCTCTATCATTTATTCATTTAACATTTAAAAATCCTTCCATTTTAGATTTATTATGTCTCTATGTTTAATTCATTTAACATTTACATGACATGTTGACCATGTAATATTTGAGGATTTTTTTTCGTGGTAAGCGGATTTTGGACGTGCTAAACTAACGGCGTGGAACAACATAAACATAGCTTAGTTGTAAATGCAATTACCATTTTCCTCGATGTTTTCGCCGTACTAAAAAAAACTAATAGAGAATATTCATTAGGCACAAAATTAAAAATTTATACATCTAGCATAACAATAGGCCATAAAAAGTGCAAACCCTAAATAGTAACTTTTCAAAAATCAAAGTTTATGGACTAAATATAAATTTTTATTTTTATTTTATCTTCTTACAATATTTTATTTTCATTTTTTTAATATTACAATTCAAACGTGATGAAGATTGATGCCTCCTTTATGACTAATACTGATTTGCTGAAGTTGGTGATTATATATTTGGAGAAAGTTACTGATACTTAATAAATTGAACCTACACCATAGGATTTTTTTTTAATATATATATATTAATGTTGATTATTCATACATTTTTAGGCAAAAGAGGCCATGATTATTTATTTATTTCAAAATATCATCATAATATTGATGGAATGTCTCAACATAATTTTTATAATCTATAACTTAACTATAGATTGGTACAATTAGATTTCATTTACTAATTTAAATATATTTTCATCAACTTCTATGATTTTCCTGATTTCCCAAATTATTAGTTAGTAAACATTTTCTCACCAAGATTTCTAGAAATATCGAGGTCTAACTCTTCAAGTGAAGTTCAAAACGTTAGAAACAAAATACGAGAAAGCAATGAAATATCGTCATCAGGATCTTCATCATCAACAACTATACAGAGGATACATGTGACAATGGAAGATCGAATAACTCATGGAGCAATAAACTTAAAAATTTATTTATTGCTAGAAAAAGGAAAACATGTCAATATGCTTTGAGTAGATGGTAAAGTACCTGCTTTTCACGTGTTCCTGTTCTTTCAACCTGAAAAAAGGACAGCATTTTGTAGACATCAAGGTAGTTTTTTTTTAGCCTCCTTTTGTCTTTCTTAGCAGCTAACCTCTTCTTTTAGAGTGTTGTAAATAGTCTCAACAACATTGAGCAAAAACCCATCTGCACCATGTTTTGCCAGCAAAGATATTGATACAGGAAGACCATTGTACAAGCCTAGAGGGATGTTAACCTGCAGATTTTGTGGAAGAAAAACATCAAAATGGTTGTTTTAACTTTTAAGAGAGAGAGAGAGAAGAAAGGAGGGGGAGAGAGAGAGAGAGCCTGGCAGAATCCAGAGACTCCAGCAATGGAGAGCAAGCTGAAAGCCTTGGAACGAAAATCGTGTAGTTCCGATATGTTGGTGTTTAGTTTTGGAGGGGGGCCTGGGACTGTTGGAATAGCAAGGACCCCAAAATCCTGAAATAAGATGATTCACATTAGCAGCTCGAGATTTGTTTAACATGATGATCCACATTCCACAAAATGTTGATTGAATCTCGATTCTATTATTTATATTCAGAGAGATAATTACAAGTCTAGGGAGAATCAAGGGCATCGAAACTTCTTGAGAAACAAACTCCAATATGCCATAATAGTACAAGAAATAAGTTTCGTGTAATTCATTATTATTGTTAGACGATGGACGCTTTAAGTTGTACAAGTAATTCAAGTTTGACTCCTAAATGACATTGTTTGTCACTGGGCTCTTTTTTCATCAAAATGACGTTTTATGCACAGTAAGAGAAGTTTCATCCAAATGCATACATTTTAAGCTCCAACTATATGGCTTTCAAAATTCAGTAAATTGTGTGTGTGTGAGAGAGCGAGAGAGAGTACTTCAAGAAGAGCAGCGAGAGCTTCCCGCAGTTCGGTTTTAATGGAGCGACTCAAATCAGTATTTTCATCTGTTGTCTTCATGGCATCTGATATTCGTTCTGATATTCCCGGACCAAAATGAGGATTGCAAGTCCTAATCCATTCTTCGTGATTGGTTTTGAATTCATACCTGTGAAGGAGAAGGAAAAAGAGTGGAGCGATCATTCGTTCATTCAACACAAATATATCACAGTCAATCAGCTCAGCAAAATTTTGAGTTACAATTTATGGTGAGATCAGAACCTCTGAAGCAACTGCATCGATCTTGCTAAGGCTGCCAAGGATGGTATGCTATGCTTATGGGCTGCATTTTCTTCAATCATGAAATGCTTCAAACTTGGAACTCTTTCGTCAACATAATTCCCAAGGCTAATTTCCTTTATAAGATGGCCTGCAGTTGAAGGCTCAATATGTAGTATCCAACCCAGTTGGAAAATCATATCAGAAAATATAAATGAACTCAAATATTTTTTCTTCTATATTGCTATCAATCTAGTATGCCATTTAAAAGCTCTGGACCTGAATCCATATTTTGTTGAACGTGCCGAAAAGGCTAGTCTAAGTAATGACAGACATTTTGAAGTAGAAGCTAGATCCTCTGATGAATTCCCTCCAGACCAAATGAGAAGCTTAAATTCAAGAGAACTAAATTCGGCTCATTCATGAACCCAGCGGACAAGTCCTCCAATTCACTTCACATACGCGAGAATGGGTGTACAAGGGAATAAAAAAGATATAATGTAGGAAAGTTAGTTATGAGGGAGAATGATCTAAAAGGGAAAGTGGGTCCTTAGGTAGGAATTTAAAAGGCTTAGGCAGTTATCTTTTTTTTTTTTTTTTTTGAGAGACCAGCCTTGTGTAACTTTCTCTTAGGATTGTTTGTGCTTCATAGAAAAAGAAGTTTGTCCAATTGCTTAACAGAACCCTTACTAAATATCCATTCATCAAGACCACATCCTGTGCAAATAAACTAACACTGGATGTTGACTTACCACCAAATAACTTCTTTACGGAATTAACAAAAGCTTGTGTCAATCGTTTACTAGGAATGCTCGAGAGCTTGAAACAATCTTCTGCAATGAGCACCTGCGTAGGCCTGATTAGTTCAACCTCCGACTGTTGCAGCAGCAACCGACCCACTCGTTTGAATACAGCCAGATCCCTTGCAAACCATCCTAAAATGATAATTTGGTGTCAAAGAAATGTACATTTTTTCAGTATGGAGGATAGCTAACGAAACATCAATACAAAGCTGATGTTGAAAGAAAGAGTTATAAAATGTTCCGAAAGATAGCATTTTGTTGAGATATGGACTCTATTCAATCTATAAGCAACCAATTCCTCTGCTACCAATCAATTCCATATCAATCATTTAAACGCAAAATCACAAGTAACATGGCCATCACAATGATGTTGTGATTATAACGCCAATAACAGAGTGTTGTGTTTCCACAATTCAAATTCTTTTGAAAAAAAAAATCATAAATGTTTGTTAAAGGACATTTCACTTTTTTAATAAAAAAGAACAACTTTGTATGACAATCACTAGAGGGCGGCCTTAATAAACAAGTTTAGTTTTACAAAGAATATTGAGTAGACAAAGTGACAATAAGATGAGACATCACATATTACCTACTGTATCAAAGCTCTGTGACATAGGTATTACTCCAGAGGTAGAGACTGCCCCATGTGAAGGCCGAAATCCGAGAATTCCACAATAGGATGCAGGCACTCTTATACTACCTCCAGTATCAGTTCCTACAAAACAAGGTACGGTCTTTTACAACATTTTACCAAGTATAAGTCATGGAACCACACAAATTATTCAACGTCTTAGAACTAAGAACTTGCCTAAGGAGAAATCTACAAGCTTTGCACCAACAGCAACAGCAGAGCCACTGGAAGATCCTCCAGGTATCCGGTCTAATGCATATGGGTTTTGGGGTGTGCCATAATGAATGTTTTCCCCATTTATACTGCCAAAATACTATCAAACTAGTCACTCCGCTAATGTAAAGATTCAAAAGCCTACATTGTTGGGATGAATCGTTTGGTGAAAGCTTTCGGTTTAGAAATTAGAAACCAGAACGAATCTAATTGGTTCACATTCATGTTTTTAACCGATATGAAAGCAGAGTTATCTGCTTGAAATTGAAGGAATAAACCTTGCCCACCATATCCAAATTTGCACAGCTTATGCCTTGTTTGTTTGTTATCCATTGTGGCAAAATGAAAGCTGAAAGAAAAAAAAGTAAAGGGAATGTTTTCTAGGTACCTGTAGGCCATTTCATCCATGACAGTCCTGCCAATGCATGTGGCTCCTCCTCTTAGGATGGTCGACACGGTTGGGGCTGTCTGATTGGCAGGTGGATGAGTCCTTGCCCATTCAGGATTTCCAAAGCCAGTTACATATCCATCCATATCAAATCTGTTTGGTTCAGAGTACAATAATAAGTTTGACATTAATTCCCCAATGTCATGGAGAAAAACTGTCACATTTTTATTTTAAGAACCATCCATTTATATAAAAAAGAACCAAGAATCATACTATTGAACTAAACTTTGGCTTGCACACACAAACAGCCGTTGCAATAGAAACCCAACGGTTGATAGCTTGTAAGAACAAAAATATCAATATCTACAGATAATATTGGTGACAAGAGTTTACAGATATGTCGATTAATCACAGAAAAGTGTTGATATATCGTAGCAATTTGAAAATGAAAAACAATAATCTTATGTTTTATAACAATTTTAAACTTCAATTTACTACTTATATTCTCTGTTATAAAATTAAAAAAAAAAAAAAAAAAAAAAAAAGGTGTAGTTCAAATAAGACCTTACAACGGCGGAAAAATTCATGTCTACCCTAGAATTGAATTAGACCTTAAAGTTCTAATTTTCATTAAACTGAACTCAAATAAGTGGTAAAAATAAAATTAACACTTTCAACTAGTTGAGTTTCTTTTTCCTTTTTTAGAACTTGTGATAGATATGGGTGCTTTTGTGGTCGGACGAAACTATTGTGGAAATTTAGTTGCGTTGAATGCTTTTAGCTAGGTTGGGACATTTTATTGTTAAGTTTGAGCACTTTGTCACTTTTTTTTTTTCTTTTGATATCGCGCATCTCGACTAATCTCACAGGACAACCGTCTAACCCTATAATATTTGGTAACGGAAAACTCAAAGGAATTACTAATTCCTCAGGTAGGTGGCCATCATGGATCACTTGCTTTACTTTGTGGCTAGATTCGGGTACTTTATTGGTTGGTTTTGGACTTTTTCATATTTCTTGATCAAATTTTGTATCATTTATTGATTGGTTCAAGGACAATTTATTATGAGGAGATATTAATCTTGTCACTTATTAAAATTCCAAGTTGAATTCAGTGAAATTAAGAACTCACCTAGTACCCAAGTAAAATTGAACCTTACCCTTACAATAATCAATACATTTCATGAATACATATTTTGGAGAGAAACATATATTCAACCTATATGGACTTGATATCATCAAGAATACTTCACAGATATTGCAGATTTCACTACAGTTTGTCACAAATTCTTTCATTTAGACCAAATCAAAAGGAGTAAAAAATCAGAAACTCACATGTCTTTGACGGCGAAAGTGAGGCCAGCTAAGGGAAGTTCATCGGAGGGGGAGCTCGGTTGCAGGAGGAATTTCTCCACGAAAGCTCCATGATCCTGAACGGCCATGGCCAAACCTGAAATGGCCCTCGTTCTTCTCCAAATATAATCAGAATTCGACTCCGCAAAAACTGATGCAATGGTCGGAAATTGCAGAGTGGAAGGGGAAGTTAGGGCAATGTGAGAAGAATAAGGATCAATCGTCAATGCTGCAGAGAGAAGATAAGACTTAAAGAATGGATCAGAGTTGTCAGCGTACCAGTGGTTAACTCTGTACATATTCACGTCGTCTCATAAACTTTTGCCAGGTCCTTTATTTTTCTCGATGATTGAATATACCTGACCCCTTATCTACCTTCCGACTTCTCACTTTATTTCGTTTTGCTTCTCTTGAGTCGTTTGAATGAAGATTCGATAAATACCCACCACCGACTCTTCTAATAGATTTTTCGTGTCATTTTAGTCACTATGATAGGTGAGAAAAAAAGAAATGACTGAATGCTCTTTGGAAAAATATAAAATAATACACCTATCGAGAAAGTTAAAGGTGAGTCTTGTAGGTAGATTTATTGAACCAAAATAAAATCTTATATTGATTCTTGATATAGTGATTTACCGTGGGAAGAGCCGCTTCTTTCTTGCTTGATAGAGTAGTTTTTATTTCACCAACTCATACTAAAAAGCACTCCTTAACGATGGCTCTTTGACATACTACTTCAAGATGATGACTTGTTTGGACTCACCAATTTTGGTCAAATCCTATCTTTTAGATTAAATGTTTTAATGAATTTTGATGACAAATCAATTAGTTTTTGTTTATTAAGTAGGGTGTGATTTTATTACAGTGTTCATGTCTTAGCTAAGGTTCAAAATGTCGATGTCGATAGAAATGTTGAGGTCTCGATTTTACGGACATGTCGATGTCGACGAATATTTTGGGAAAAATAATGAAAATTGATGGAAATTGATGAAAATTTTTTAAATTAGCAAATAAAGCGTAGCTTAATTAGTCTATAATTGATCACCTTTAATGAAATATGACCATTTTATTTATAATGAAAATATCCAAAAATATTTTTTTTCTTTAATAAAAATTAATGAAAATTATTTGAATATGTAAAGTAAACTAATGTAAATTTTTTACGACTTTCTTATAGCCTCTTTCATAATAGGATTCATTTGAAAATGAGATAATTACGACTTGATTTCCAAACACATTTCTAAATTCTAATTAACCAGTACCTTTTTACTTTTTACATGCTTCTTTTTTCAAATTTGAATTTACACATTTTTCAAACACATCTCCAAATCAATCATCAATCCAACTTTTCAAGCACATCTTTAATTCACTCAAATTATTCTTACTTTTTTTACCTTTTTAATTTTTACCTAATTTGAATTTATATATGTCAATATTTCACATATATTATTCAATTGTGTCACTAAGAATTAGATTGGATTAGAAATCAATAAAGTAAATTCTTGATCTTATTAGTTATCCTTTATACAGTATTAAATTACGAATATTGCATTGAAGAGATTAATATTACAATCATCGAGGGGTGAGAAATTATGGATTATTGTACTGGGAGAAGACGAAAATAAAATAACCTTAAAAAAAGACATGTCGACAACATGGAGGAAAATTGACTTTTTCCCTCGGTACCAATATCGAACATGCCAACACGTCAACATGTCGCTCGATTTTTTGAACCCTGAACTTAGCTAGTTGAAAATCAACTCTCGAGCGCCAACCTAAACTGATCAACTGTGAATGTCTCAATTTTTTAAAAGAAAATTACTTAATCACCCTCCCTTTATGTAATTTAACTTTTATCAACTCACTCCCTCACACCTTTATTATTTTTTTTTTTCTCCTCCTTCCACCCTCTTTTTCTTCAACTCTCTAGTTTATCAAATCTCTGTGATTTTTTTTAGGAAAGACTTTCCTCCTTAGATTGTGATCCTTATTTTAGCTGACTCATATAATAATAAGAAGATAAGTATTATTAAATAGCATACAACGAATGCGATTTAGCTGCCAACACGTCATATATTAAATAGATATGGAGACGATCAAACTCACAACCTTTTTTATTGTAGATATGTCAATTAAGTAATTACCATTGAACTATGATCGTTTTAGTCCCTTATCTTTTTTTTTCCTACCTTATTTTTGTAACTACTTTTCAAACTACATTATTTACGTCATTTTCTAAAATATTTTTTTTTAAATCCCATTTTTGACACTATTCCTTTTTAACTTTTTAAGCAAATACTGTCCATTTAAAAAATGGTTTAAAATACACTATTAGTCCATTTACAATTAGTTGATGAACTTACTAACAATTTAGTCTCTATCGGAAAATTTTTTGCTAAACTTTTTTATATATGTAGATCGAAAAACCGATGAGCTAGATTAAATGTGTTTGTGAATTACAATGATTAAATTGTTATATGATAAAAATCTACCTTAACGGGTAGGTCGAACCTCAACACTCCATACTAATTTATTAATTTATGGGCAATTGTTAGAAATCAAGATAGAAGAATTATGACAACAAACGTACGGTATGATCCTCTCTCAACTAAAGTCGTTGTCACTAATAAACAAAGTTTTAAATAACAATGTCGATGAAGATATCGAAGTCTCAATTTTGTGAAAATGTCGATAAAAATATCAATAAAATGTCAATATCAATATTTTTAGAAAAATTATAAAACTAAAAAATCCATAATAAATATTTAAATTAAAATAGAAGTATTTTACCTTTTTAAATAATGATAGCTGATAGATTTTTTTATATTTTATAAATTCTTTTTTTACAATGCAATGAAAATGTCTTCATATGGATGTTAATAAAAATTTAATACTTTATTCATAAGATGCACCACGGAAGTGGCAAAGGTTATACAAAGGTTATATATAATTTTTATTTATAAAATAAAATCTCTTAAAGAGATTTAGATTATTTCCCACTTTTTCATTTTCCTTTTCTTTTTTTTTAATTATCTCATTTATGCACAATGTACGATTTCCAATAAATAAGATCATTTATCATAATTCTATTTCTTAAAAACTACTTAGTTTTGATCAATTAAGTTACTTTTGAGTTTGTACGCCGGATGAGAAAATCTTAACTGCCTTTATTCAAGGGATTCAAAGGGGAGATATCAGATTTACGTATCAGGATTCGAATTCCACAATCGTAGATCAGGATTCAGGATTCAGGATTCAACTTCTAATAGGGATAAGTCGAAGGGTATGTTACAAATCTCTACTATTTGATATACTACAAATCTCTACTCTTTCCTACCCGACTTCTCTGGTTCTTTGACGTGGTTACAATATTAACTCTTATCAATTTATGTTCTAAATGACGTGGTTATTTAGTAACTCTATAAAATCTTAATCCCTAATTTAAAAACACAAAACACAAATATTTTAGGAAGAAAATGGTGATTTGATTTTCTATCATTCCAAACATCCAAAGAAACTAAATCTAAGCAAGTAAAATGTTAGAAGAAAGAGAGAGATGAACTAAAACATCAAATTCATGCTCTGAGTTGATCAGATCATCAAGTTGTATAAGCTCAATCTGGGAGAAGATAAAACTGAAAAATCGAACTGATTGATCGTTTTGCTACCCGACCAACGCAGACCGATCTCTTGTTGATAATCAAGCCCCCGTTTGTTTACAACGTGTCGAAAAGGCTCGATCGAATAGGCGAACTCTTTCTTTTCCTTGTGCAGATTGTAGGACTTGCCGCTCACTTCTGCAATGGAATGAGAAGAAAACTTATCCTTCCTTGACTTCTCACCAACCAGAGGCAGTGGTTCAAACCAGAATGCCTCTTTCTTCACCAACTTCACCTTATAAGTTTCACAAATATCAACATCATAGATTGATATTTCAATAGGGATCATCTCATCCAAAACTCTACAGCTTCCTTCATTCATATTCCTCAAAATCACTTCCTCGAACTCCTTCGATTGTGGAATCTTGAGGCTATCCCAACGTAACTGATCGGTCGTCAACTTCATCCGATACTGCCAACAGTTACTAACTCCTAGATCGTTCATTCAAGTCGAATCTTGTTGATTTGGGGCCTCCCCAACCTCTGCTACGTCATGACATGAAATTTCTTTCCACCCACAAGGAGAAAACTCAAGACTTTGTTCTATAATCCAACAATCTGTTCAAACGTTATGGAAGTTACAGCAAAAAAGCACCAGAGTTCGAGAGTCTGGTTACTCGAATTCGTTTTTCTTTACCAACCAAACCTCTCTCTGGTACAGTCTATATATAACAAGATACAATAAAGATCACTTTCCAAATCTGCCCAGATATGAATGACAGAGTTTTCTTTCATTGCTTAAGCTGTAAATTTCTGGTTATTGGGTTATCAGTCAGCCTTGATTCTGGTCATTAACAGCTGGCAAAGCTGTTAATTCATTGTATTTGAATGCAACCAAAGAAACTTATGAAGTTTAAGATAAGGTTAGAGCTGGAATATATTGGAACGATTGCCTTTTCCTAGCTTGAAATGAACATATTTACAACGAAAATTTTCTTTCAGAAAATACAGCAGATTAGTTCAAGTTGACAACGGAGCAAAACCGAGGCTTCCGAACTTAGAATCATTGAACCCTAAACAGACGATTTTCCGAACACTGGCAAGGTTTTTCTTGTAGTTGAAGCCTTTCTTTACTTGCCCTTGAAGCTTTGTCTTGCACATCTGAATGTCATTGAGCTGCACTTTCATTGTCTCGACCTCCCTTTTCATCAGATTTATCTCCTTTTGAGAACTCATCATCCAACTCGTTCCTGGACATCTACTTTCACCCATTCCGATTCGACTTTTTGCTTGTCGGTAACTAGATCCAAATGCTGTTGTAGGTTTCTTCATACTCACTTGTTCCAAAAGAATAAAACTGGTAATGTATTTCAGCGGTAACCGGTCGTTCTTTGTTATGTGCTTCCTTGCTTCTTCTGAAAGCTTATGGTATTTCAAGGATCTGCATAGACAGGTCCTTTCTTCTTCTGTTGATTCAGGATGTGCCTGCAAAAGTATTGAGAAGAATCACATTACTAAAACTGACCCGAACCCAAGACTTACTCGATCACTCTGAGTTGAAACTTGGCATTTCCTTACCTTCAGGTACATATCAATTGCACTATACAGATTGTCAAAACAAAGCCGAGCATTCTGAGGCAATGCTTCTGCAAGAACTCGGAAACCATCTGCCTTGAGGTTCTGATCCCGGGCAACAAGCAGAAGATAGTCATCCACAAGTCTCCCAACAGCGAGCAAATTTGATTGAGAATTAAGAAATATGTGAGAAGCATAATATTTCACCACCCGAGTAACAATGGCGACATCATAAACGCCATCAGCATCTCCATAGTTCTTGACAAGTAAATCCGAAGCACGACATTTTTCCAACATCATGGTCAATCTACTTTCAAGCTTAATTAACAATTCATAGTCAATTTTCATTACAGATCCCAGCTTCAGAATATGAAACAAAAAACTAGCGGGAACCGAATTTTCCTCCACAGGAAGTAACCGAATCAAACTTTCAAGGGTGATGACTTTTAACTTGTCAGTGAAATACTGCAGCATCAAAGTTTCGAGTCCGTTCATGGCACGAGCAAACCATCTCATTGTCCAGTGTACTACACATGATCCAACGACCTCAGACTTCATTCCTCTTCGTTTACCTGATTCAATCACTTCAATGAAATGATCAATCCTTAGAACCAAAACATCCTCAAACCACCAGTTGTCTGCCACGGATTCAAGCTTCACATTATCAACATTATAATCTCTGTTACAGAAGGACTCTGGATTCATACAAGCCTTCCGAGCGATCGCTTCGGAGCAGCGTGCTGGGACGTGCAGCCGTTGGGCCCATTGAGAAATCGATTCACAACTCTTGAGAACTTTGAATGTGTCTTTCCATGAGGATGATATTACAAAACTCAAGAAGGCTTCTGCCTTGGAAATTAGGTTCCCTTGTGCAAGATCATCAGTCATTTCTAGGAAATGTGCTGCACAGTAGAGGGGAGCAACATTTTTGGCAGTTAAATCAACCTTCCATCCATAGCAGAACTTCATCACCAACTCAAAGGCCATGGGCCCACCTGGAAGATTGTCAATTTGTATGGTGATGGCACTGTTGTTATTTTGCACCTCATGACTGCTGTTTTGGATTATCATTCTGTTCAGATATTTGCTTCTTGCAACCATAGGGAGCTGAAAAGATGAAGATTGGCCCGTTACCATCCAGCACGGTTCGCGTAATATATGTTTAAATCCTATTTTAATCCTTGAAATTTCAAGTTTTTTCCAGTTTTATTTTGTTCTTAAAACTCTCAAATATTTTGCAAGTCTCTGAACTTTGCATAAAAAACCAAGTTCATTGTTGTTGATTCTTTTTCAGTTATCTCATAGAAACCTAACACAGTTACTTTTTTTTTTCCATTTTGATGAGTACATATCTACAGTAGACAAGTTTTTGAAACTACATGCAGTAGGTCAAGTGTCGGCTTCAAAATATCTCTAGATTTTTGTTAAATTATTAATGAAAATTTTCTTGGTTCTGTAGCTTTTTGTGTAGAGTGGACAGAACATTTAAGAGTTGAGGAACTAAAACAAAGTTCAAGAAGAAAAAAAGATTTGAATTAGAATATATTACGATCAAAAGAATTTTTCAGATTCTCTGTGGGCTACAAACCACGAGAAATTCTTTAGTAGTTACAATTTACATATGATAGCAAAATATGGTTTTCTGTTTCTTATCAAAAAATAAAAATAAAAAATCACGGATTCAAAAATTCATTTCATAAGTTGTGTTGCACAAGTAGTTTTTTGAAAACAAATAACAAGCAACTGAAAGAGAGCCTTCATATGCGTATATTCTTATGACTCATTCAGAATCATACATTCAAAATCCTGTAAAACTATCCATGTTTCAAAATTAGAATAGATGAAATAGGGATAAAATCACTTGAAAAACAGATGAGAACATATTATAGAACTCAGATTAACTTGAACAGAGTGATGATCAATGATGATGAGTTGAACTCTAATCAATGGAATCATCAAGGCTGCAACTCTCTTTGTTTTAGACTGAAAAGATAAACTGAAAAAGAAGAGTGTACCTTATGCAAGTGAAAGCTGAAGTCCCCAACTTGTACAAATAAGTCGCTTTCGTATGCCGGTTTTGTTTGAACAATCCTGCAATTGGCAGATAGTAAATAAGGTTAAAAACCGTATCAATGAAATGTTAGAGGTCTTAGGAACCAAGACAATAGACTGGCCCTGATGAAACAGAACGAATATACAAGGGGTTCCAAGAGTAGTTTACCAATTCTTGTTACTTCTTTCCATAGATTCAGCAACCAAGATCGATTTAACAGGGAAAATGATACACTTGTTGTGCTTTCCACCAATCACCGACCCACAAGTCGGAATTTCCCTATCAAGATTCCTCCTTGCTTCTGTCATCTCAATAGGATCTATGGTAGCAAATCTACACTCCATTTTCCTCCAAGGATCAGAAAATGGCAGAAAGTGTTCTGTTTTTATTTTCTCTTGTCTACTATGGTCAGATGGACAGCACACGTCTCCTTAAATAGGTCTGTTCAGTACCAAAAAGGTCCTCCCTTTTCCAAAAAAGTGAGCACATTAATTGTTTCATCACAGAGTTCTAGACAAAATGAATTTCTGTTAGATAAATGAAGTAGTTATGTCATTAATGGAGTTAGTTGGCTTCTCCTGTCTGCTGTCACTGTAATAAGATGACCACAGACAAAATTAGAGACAACAATCATAACTCTTTGTTCTTGCATTCTCATCCACAAAACAAGAAGTTGAGGACCTCACCTTTTTCTGCCAATGTCTGCTCCAATGGCAGCCATCATCACAATCCTCATTGTAAGACCATGACACTGAATCTTTCATCCTTAGCCCTGAATGTTTCAAATAGCTGATGTGGTCGATATTTTGACACGTTCTGTGTCGTGGAAATTTTGTCTGGTCAAAAAAGTTCTCTAAAAAAATATATGGTCTATAATGTTCTGCAACTTAACACCAAACATACAATACATTATCCATATGTGTTTTTAAACTCTACTCAAAAGCTTCTTGCCAAAGTGAACATAGCTCAACAGTAATTGGCATATATCTCTAATTAATAGGTTATGAGTCCGATCCCCCACCCCGACATGTTGTACTCAGAAGCTTCTTACTAATACAGATATTGTCCCTTATGTCACATTTCTTATTGATATGAAACTTCAGCTGCATCCTTGACAAAATTAATACAAGCTGTTTTCTAGTGGAATCAAATAACAAACTATAAGCGGTAAAACAAAGGCTATAACGAATATGTGAGATATGCATATGGACTTTTATATCTCCACGCGCTTTAAAACTCTATCCAGAAAGGTTCCTAGTAGGAGATATTGTTTTTACTTGCAAACAAGACGTGAAACTTTGGCTGCATCTTATATTCACCAGTTGACTATGAGCGAAAAATAAAATGCTACTAACGGTAGTAAAATGTGTCGGTAATGATACCTAACCCTTTCTACAGGCTTGTCTCTTTCCTAAGCTAGCTTTCAAAATCTAGACTTCGCATGTTCAGCTTTATATAATATTAATAGATGTTTGTTATAAGAGAATAAAATCCGTATGGGAGCTATAGAAGCACACAGAGAACAGCAGCCATTGACAAAAGAAAAGTTATAAACAAAGTTCATGTCTATTTAGTACTTCCAAAAACATGAGTATGTTCAGTCGGTTTGTAAACAAATTTCAGACAAACGAGGTTTCTAATATGGTCACCTTTGATGTTCTGCATCTGCACACAGATCAGTTTCAAGCATGCCTCTAGAATATAAGCTTACAAGAAATTTATGAATGAAGACAAAATCTTTTTATCATCTTCTTTATCATTTTTAGAATTCAATGTCGAATATCAGTTAATAATTGAAAATTTTCAGTTTAGTCCCTATAATCATGTCTATTTAGTTTCTAAATTTCCAATAATTTGGTTATGTCCCTACACTTCAGGTTATAACTTAACCAAACGTTTCTCTTCAACGTCAAGGGAGTATCAAATTTTTCACAAGAAGGAAAAAAGAATCCAATCTTAGAATTCCTATATACTGATGTTTCGACAAAAGTCTTCTTGAGCTTATTACTATAAATATAAAAAAGAGATTTCAATTTTAAATTCCTGATCGATTTTCTACTACATAAAAATATTTTCACAAAATTTTGAAGATTGTTTGTACACAATCGTCTTTAAAAAGTACTTTGTGTATCTGTGCTCGAATGAATCGTTAAAGTTAAAATTATTATACACTTCAAATCATTGTTCATGAATCCACATTAAATTAGAAAAAATATTTAAACTCAACTTCAAAACAACCCTTTTCTCGTGATTTTGCTTCTAATTTATAACTCTTATCAGGCAGATAGAATTTTATTTTAAATCAAGATAACCTGTTCAACATTAAATCAAGCTGGACAGAATAAGAAAACTACAGTTTCTTTATGTTGCAATGTGAAAGAAAGCATCAAATGTGTAAGTATAATATAAAGTTGCACATTCTTTTTGACTGTCATTACCAACATTCAGAGAGTGGAGTAAAGCATGAATTGGAAAAGAAGAGATTTTTTTCCAGCTTAATCAAGATTATCTACTCTTGTCAAGCAAATTATCTACAAGAACTATTACGTAGGGCCTCAGATCAAATCTTCAGTGTAAATCTCTGGTCAGTCCGTTGCGTTGTGTGTGTGGTTTGGAATCGACATGAATTTGCTTCGGAGGGGACTCCGTCTGCTACAATTGACAGGAAAATGGTGAGTATTGGCCAAACAAAAATCTAAAATCAAGATGTGAAGCCATTTATGGGGTGTTCGGTTCACAAATTTGAAATGTTTGGATTTGTGTAGTCTAGAGTTAAGAAGTCTAAACTTGTATAGTTTGTGTTCAGGTTTGTTCAAAATAATGAATCCCAGCCCTTCCTTCCCCTAAAGTCAAAACTGAAATAGAAAAATGGTTGAAAGAACACAGGGAGAGTTGCTAGCCAAGTTACAAAGTCTTGGCTTAAATTGTTTGCATTTCAATTTTTCAGAAGAATGAGTCCTCTCCTCGGTGTTTGGATTGTTCAAAAGAAAAGATGTCAGAAGTATGAACTAATATAGCCTATGTTTGGTTTGTCGATTTGTAATTTGTAAGAGTTAGTTGGTAACCTAAGAGAGAGATTTCAGAAGTGTAGGTTTATGTCGGTCGTGGGATCAGCAAATTTGTGGCCTAAGGTAAGCAAAAATATATATCAAGAGCATGGTCGGACTTCTCAACTTCAGGCTATACAAATATGTCAAATATACACTCGACTTTTCATGTCTAGGCTATTACAAATCCAGTCGCTAAGCCAAAGACCCCTCACAGAGAAGCAATGAGATATAATCACATTACAAGGAACACACAAAGTGAGGAAGTTATTTAAAGTTACAACTCAAAGGGAATTATAAGTTGCATATATCATTGGTGATAATATACTCAAAATGAACTTTACAGCCAATGTTTTCAACAAAAATATGTATCACTGAAGACTGAAGTGAATCTCAACACAAACAGAACCTCAAAAACATGAAATCTACTTAGAAAGATAGAAGACCAATGCAGCAATATATATACGTATACCATCACAAAACTTATCATTTCAATAAAAAAAATCGGTCATAAAAAGAACAAAGAGAGACGTACGGTTCTCCTTCACCTCCATGCCACAGCTACTATTGCTCGGGAGGGGCTTGATCTTGTGCATGCTGCCACATTTGTGGAGGCATGTAAGGGTGAGATTGTTGAGCATACATTGTTGGGTCCATCACTGGCTTGCCCATAATCATCCCAGGGGCCCCAACCTGAGGTGCATGTTGAGACGGCATATAGCAATAAGGAAGTGCATCTCCAGGCCCCCCAACGGTTATTGTTCCTCTCGGGATTGATGTGAGTACTTCGTCTTTCAGATCTTCCCTCGGCACAATATCAACCAGAAAGTCAAAAATGTCAGTTCTTGTGATGGCTGCAGCAATATCGTTCTTCTGAAGCGTCCTGCGTTTGTTCTCTTCGGTATGGTTCCAAGACCGTAAAGTCAATTCCAAGATGAACATTTCACATGCCCTAGCAAATAAAACTGGTGCCTCAGCCGATATCATTCGTACATCCTCGTCAGCCTTCATGATCTTCTTGATCCTTGCTAAGGGAAGACTATGGTTCTTGAAGTCGGTTACCTTTTCGATCTCTTGGTACTGATTTGCCCAAAATGTCTGGAGCTGCTGTTGAAGTTGCTGTTGTTGCTGCTGGTGGATATGCTGATAAGCAAGTTGGTGTTGAGCAAGCTGAGCTCCGCTGGGTTGGCTCGTAGACTGAATACCTCCTACTGATGTAACAACAGATCCAGAAGTCGGACCTACAGTCATTTGGCTAGGATGGTACAGGTTGCTACCATATGCCATCTGACCTCCACTGCCAACTGCTCCCATCGATGGAGGCTGGCCATGCCCTTGTTGATCCATCACGGTTGAAAGAATTCAACAGCTCTTGAAAAGAAGATATAAAAGGGAATAATCAGATTAGGTACACTAGAGTAAACAGTTGACATAATAAAGTTGCATATCTAAGCGGGTCTAGAAATAGTGGAAAAGAAGAAACAAGGACAACTTTTTAACCGGGGAAATGAACCGAAGAAAAATTACGCATTCATGTCATAAGTTTTGTCAAAATTCTACAAAGTATTAGCAATATATCATTCAGAACCTTTGCAAGACAGAGACCATGGTATGCTTACTTTTCACTTCACTATACAAAGCTAAGCTATCTCACAATTCAACCCACCAGAACGATCAAGTCATAATTACCCGCAAACCGAATAATCTAAAACAAACTAATACACATGCATAGAGTGATCAAAGTAAAATTTTCTCCAAAATCAATAGATCTCAGGAGGAAGCAAAAATCAGCATATATGAATAAAGCTTTTCTATTAGCAAAACTCACAGCACAGAACTGCACAAGTCTACTATCAGTCAGTATACTGCTACGATATCGGACTCCTTACATTATTTCTTCGTCGTAGATGATATATCTCGCATTTCCTAACCAGTTCAAGTAATTTGAAAACCTATCTACTAAAAATTTCATTACAGGAAATTCTCAAAGCTGCAACCACAGAATTCCATATATTCAAGAATCTGTCTATATGTGCTTCCTAACCCATATTTCATTCTACAGGATAAGCAAAATAGCCACATATCAATCCTTAGTGTCACAAAAAATATTGAAACTAAACCCCGAATCCCGTTTAATACGTCAGACCTCGTGAATCAACAAATCCCACAAACAACCAGCAGTTTAGAAACTCCCCTGCTTCACTGTTCTACTCACTCATGACTCAGATTCAATTCATCAAACAAGTGGAGAAGATACAAAATTATATGAGGGAAATCGATATTATGCTTTTAGCTAAATGCAAAACAAGACTGATTTATGTTCATACCTAGAACTTAGAAATAGAACAAGGAAAAAAGGGGAAAATAAAAAGTAAAAACCCAATGAGTTGCATAGATTTTAGCTCTGTTCATTGCAGAAGATCATCCTCCGACAATCAGAGAAACCACAGCAATTTTAGAACAATCATTAATTTCCACACCCGACCGAATCATGTAATAAGAAACAAACATACCCAGAAACAAAATTTCACAATTTATAGACATTAACGATCAAGCAGTTAACAAGTGTACAATAGAGAGAAAGAGAGAGTTTTGTTACCTTTTTTGGGACAGATGATGCTTAAAAGTTAAAACAGTGCAAGATCTTCGAGACCCTGAAAAGAAAGAAAGGAAAATCGGTGAGAGAAAAAGCTTGAAAAAGAGATCTATGGCGAGGATTGGATGATGACCCATGTCATCTTTTTGGGGGTTTTGGTTTTTTGAGTTTGGAAGTTCTCCGTACAATGGAAGATCCAAATTGTATAGAGACACTTTTTTTCTGGGGATGTTTCTTCCGCCCAAAAGGAAAAGAAGAGAAAATCAGAGAGATTTTTTTTAGTTTTCGTAAAGATTAATGTTCTGTCTTTTTTTTTTTTTTTTCCCTTCTTAGAAACTGACCTTAAAAAAGAAGGAAACAGAGAGGGAATAGCAGAGTCTATGTCTTCTATTCTGACTTACAATCTTCAGAGCCAAAGGGGTTTTTTATAGTGGATGCTTTGCTTTGCTCCTCTCTTCTCCATCTTTTTAAATATTCTAACTTTCGATCCACAAAAAAATATATATGTTAAATTATAGAGCTGTTCACTAACTTTCATAATCATATCTAATAAATTTCTTTAACTTTGAGTGTCTAATCGATTTTTAAATTTATATTTCAATTTTCAAAAGACATCCTATAAATATCTTTTACAGTTGGTTAGTCATTGGATTTTCAATTTTGTGTCTAATAAATCTTACGAGACACTCACAACTTTTGATTTGAGATATATGTTGGATGCGAAAGATTTGAACATTCAATTTAAGGAAAGGACTAAGGGACCGTTTGTTTCGTGGGAATTCAAGATTCCCGTGAGACGGACATCTTAGGTGGACGCCCTTTTGAAACACGGGTTTCCAAGATTCCCGTATTGAGAGCATCCACTTTTTACATTTTGGCCATTTTTTTTCCATATATTTTATTTAATCAATTTTTTTAAATTTTACCTAAACATTTTCTTTATTTTTATTTTTAAATTTATAATTAATATACTCGTCGTTTAATAAATAACTTTATGCTATTAAGTATATTTGTACATTAATGTAAAATAAACTACAGTTAAATTATATAATATATCCATTTATTTTTAATATTGTGAAGGAATTACATTATTAGTAATATAACATACCCGTGATATTTTTTTCCTTAAAAAATAAACATAAATTATATAATTATCTTTTTAGAAAACTATTAAAGTTGAAAATGAAACTTATATTAAATTAATAATGAGAACATAAAAAATAAAAATATTACTATTAATGTTTAAACATATACTGTTTTTAATATGACTATTAATTAGAAACTACATTGAGAATTGTCAAACTAAACATAGTTTAATTGATTAAATCATATGTCTTCAAATAAATGGTCGTGAGTTTGAATCCCTACACCCACACCTATCGTAAAAGCAACTACATTGATAATCCACCTCCGCTGTCTCATTTTGTGAGATTCTTCTAAGTTGTATTTTGTTGTTTTTTCAACTTAAGCATATAAAAAATATTGTAAAAAATATTGGGTGTCTAATAATTAAAGAAAAGACCAAATGATCTCTTTTACTTGAATTCTTTGTTCATAATCTTAAATTTTGAGCTTTTCAATTTCTTTGGTCTCCTCTTTTTTTACCCAAACATATATTCCCCAAGTTTCACAAAAAAACCCTTTGAATAATCCCATTTTCATGATTGGATGAGTTGAATATGCCAATTTTTAAAAAAATGCATCATCACTATCATCTTCTTTTTTTTCTTCTTTTATTAATTTTCATTATCCACATAGAGTTTGATAAATTTTAAAATAAGATTATATTTTAAGTTTTAAATCRTGGAGGTTGATGGACACGTTGAGGTCTTGATTTGTATGGAAATATTGATAAAATATAAATTAAAAATAAGTATTTTAAATAAGTTAAAAATTTGTATTATTAATATTATGTCCACATTAGTGATATTATATATATATATATATATATATATTATCAATTTTTTTATGATACTATAAAAATGTTGATTCACCCATTATGTTAATGTCGAATCTGCATGAACAGGAGCGGAGGTACGGTAGGGTCCGGGGGTTCGAGCCCTCAAGTTTTGACATTATAATTTTAGTACAAATTAATCTGTCTTATTTTCAAAAATAAAAAATGGCGCAGTGATCACTTTGAGCTCTAGCCCCCTCAACATCTTTGAGTGCCCCCTCAACATATTTTTTTTTTCTTTTTTCATTTTTAATTCATATTTTAGTCCCTTTTTTTTTGTAATTTGTACATTTTTATACTTCATATTATTTTGTGTGTTTGAGGTGTTATTTTGTGTGTTTGAACCTGCACCCCCGTGCTTTTATTTTTTATTTTTTATTTTTTCATGTTTGTTAGCCTCCAATACTACGATTTTATTTTGTTTTAATTTGTGTTTTTTTTGTAATTCTTTTTTTTTTTTTGTAATTCGTATTCTTCCGGTGTCCGTTTTCAAGCCTAATTTGTGATTTACCCATAATTTTTCATATTTATTGTTTTTGTGAGTTTTATAAAAGAAAAGAAAATCATCAATTTTATTTTTGAAGAAGAAAAAGAAATCATAGATTATGTCAATTTTTTCAAAAAGAAATCATAGATTAGGTCAATTTTAAAAAATTGAAAAATTAAGAGAAATGGCAAATTTTCTATGTCATAATTTTTTAGGACAACCAAATATGTCAATTATTTATTTATTTATATATATATATATATATATATATATATATATAACGACAATGTATAAATGAAAAACAAAAGCATTATGATATAACTGTAATGTAAAAGTGAAAAACAAAAGCATTTTAATTGTCGGCTACAATTAAATCATAATGCTTTTATTTTTCATTTATACATTGTCGGTGCCGTTATAGATGGGTAATTTTTTTTTAATAAATTCTTGTACTGATATATTTTTTTTCGTCTTTAAACCATCATTTTTTTTATATTCAATTCTTCTTATTTTATATAAGTTTTGGTTTCAATTTTGCAATATCCAAAAAAGTTTACAATTTTAATTATCCAAGGTACATTTTTATTATCTTTACATTTTATATATGATTAGTTTTACTATTTAGAGATTAATTTTTAATTTTATTATTATTAAGATTCTTTATAGAATCAACATCATTAATTGACATTATTTCTGACTAAGAGGTGGTGAGTTTACTAAAAAAATTAATGTTCAAAAGATATTTTATATAAAATTTAGAAAAATTATCGACAATTCTTACCAGCTTCAAAATTACTTTTATGAATTCTCACCTATAAGTAGTATGAAGCCGCCCCTCAACAAAATTTTTGGATCTGCCACGGTGCATGAACATATAGAATAATGTTAATGAAAATATCGAAAAATTTATTACCTAATCATATATATTTATATCCGTCGATTCCAATAATGATAGGATTTTATTTGAAGCTATTTCTATATAAAACATAACTTAAGACTTTTAAATTCGTTTAATTTTGATTTGTAAATTTTTAGAAATTTTATTTCAGATTATCATAAAAAGTTATTTTTAGTCTTTGTTGTCAAATTTTAAATAAATTATTTTAATAGAATCCTTGATATCTTACATATCTTTTTGTGTATTTACAATATTCCAGCTAAGTTGTGTGTTAAAAATGTGAAGTAATTAGTTAAACCGGATCTAATTAAAATTTTGAAGAAATTTTATAAACCCTCTTCAAAATCCTTAGTTTTCTTCACTTTGATATTATAGTACAAATGGTTTTTCTAAAATAAGAAGAAAAAAACCTATAATATACAAAAATAAAATATATATATATATATGTATATAATAATAAACTAGTTAAATGACTCTATATTAATTATTTCACACACTAACTACACTTTATTAATCTCATACATAAATCGAGCTCGACTAATCCGCGAGTTTGGGACAAAAACTCGTTGAAACTTTATAAAACTGGATCAAGGCATGTTTTAGAGTCATTATTATGACAATGACAAAAACGATTTTAGTCAAATAAATCCTAATATTTTATAATAATATATAAATAATTTTAGAAATAACAAAAAGTGTTATAGCATCATTTTTAATATACACATTTTTTTTCTCTAAGTGATACATGTTAAATTATAAAGTGTTAAGTTATAGATATATATTGCATTAGTTTGATTATTTGTTTTCTAGTTAATAATTTGTATACTTTATTTAACCAAATAAGATATTTAGTGTCATATTTCATAAACTTTATTCTATAACTAGTAATACTTATTAATTGTGTTTATTCATCTACAGAGCTGACATATGCCACTAATGAGATACAGTTGTCAGCATAAAAAATGGAATTTCGTTGGCTCGACAACGATATTTTGTCGATATTTCTATCAATATTTTCATCTACAGACATTTAAAATCCGTGATTCGTCCCCGAACTTAACCTCCTTGATCTTGAGCCTAAAATGAAATATTTTTTTGACATAAAAATGGCTCTCTTTTGCCCTTTCAAAATCGTCTCTAGTTAAGTTGTATGTGCTATTATCCTATGTGTTTTTTCTTCGAGTTTAACGCAAGCAAATCATATTTTTATAAGAAAATTAATTTGCAGAAGCTTTATAAAACATAGAGCTTTTGGTACCTTACAATGGTATGATATTGTCCGTTTTAGACATAACTCATGACTTTGTTTCTGATTTTCACTCAAAAGGACTTATATCAATGGATTATATAATTGTCATCATCTATATATTATAGATCACTCATTTCCACCAACAAAGACACTACTTAATTTGTGGCTTGTTCGGAATGCGACGATTACAGTCCCACATTGACTAAATAAGGAGAAAATCATGGATTATATAAGTGAGGGACAACATCTTCACTGGTATGATGTCTTTTAGATAAAATAAAAAGTAAAACTGTAAAAACGTTAGGCGCAAAGCAGACCACGGTTGAAAGTGCTTAGGCTCTGGACCTTGACACTAATTCTTCGATTAGATCAACCACTTGGGTTAAAATTATTCCATAATTGCTTTCTAATAATACACTTTTAAGGTCTTTTTTGACTTTTCTAAATGCACTTTTACATTATTTCCAAACCTTGATAATTTTTGGAACGGCAATATATACGTGCAAAGTGCATTTTGAAATTACAAATGGTCTCAACTTTTAAAAGTTTCTAATAAATATCTAGTTGTATATATTTGTTAGTCCTTGTATTTAAAAAAAAAAATATTCTAATAAGTCTTTAAGCTTTCAATTTCGTATTTAATATATTACCAATTAACATCGTCAATTTAACATTTATGTGATACATTGATTGTACAATTTCACAATTACACATAGTAGGCTAATTTTAGAAATTTATCCATGAGTTAGTGATCTTTTAGATATAATATAAAAAGCTTGAAATTTTATTACAATATTTATAAAGTATAGAGACTAAAATATAAATTATTCTAAAAATTTATGGACCTATTGTAACATTTTAAAATAAACCGACACAATCTTAAAAATTCAATTAAGATCGATCTTATAATTTTTTTTCCTAAAAAAAAATACTAACTGAGCGCTTAAGAAAGTAGACTCTACCTGAATTTCTTTTTAGTTAAACATGCGAGATGGCATTCGAACTCACGATTTTTTGATCCGAGATAAATATCTTAATTAGTTGAATTATGTCTAGTTGAATTAACAAGTGTTTGAACAATTTTTTCTATTAAAAAATTTCGAGAAATACCCAAGACTATGTATGAGAGCGTTTTTCTCAATGCTACAAGGATTTCTCTATCTCAAAATCATCGTATCTGTGAGGGTAACTAAAATCACTTTTGTACCTTTGATCCAAGTTATTTATTATTATGCATTTTTGACTAATGTAACTTTGCTAAAAACAATTATTTTGGAAACATTTTTAGAACACGCTCTAAAGCATCTACTCTAAAAGTAGTTTAGAGAGGGCTTTCGAATTTCAAAATTTGTTTTTAATTAGCTCAAAGTATTTTTCACACTTTCAAAAACTAGGTAAAATTCACCTTTTAATGCTCAGTTGAAGCACAAGTCATCCCAAAATTGGTTTCGATGTCCCTAAATGCAAATCATATATTAAGAATAATTTGTTTCACGTTTCTTTTCAACTACATTTCTTTTTCTCTTATAGATAGAGAGGATTGGATTACCAAGCTTGTATATGTGAAGTGATGGAACCTAAGATTTTAATCAACATTTTTTAGCCAATAAAAAGATGCATTAATCACATGATGATAAGAATAATCTTAAAAGAAGCATAAGTATAGAAAGAAAAGAAAGCATTCAAATATAAGAATCAAACTAAGTTACATCAACCCTTTATAATATTAAATTAATTAGTTCAAATCCTAAAAAACATGGAAAGCAATCAAGAAAAATGAGGAAAGATCAAATCTGTCTTCAAATTGAGACCCTTTAGAGTATCATAGAAATTAATTCAAAATGGGAATATTATTACTAATCAAACTTTTAAGAAAACAAGGAAGAATCAAGAAAAGTAGAGAGAACACATCTATTGATCTATTTGACATCCTCTATAATATTAAATTTGTTTAAATCTATCTTCTTTTACGTGCTATCTTTGGTCATTTGATAACATTTATATTTCTCTTGTTTCTAATTTTTTCTAGATATACGTGTTTAGAAACTATTCATTTTACTACACGAGTATAGTTCAACGGCTAAAGACATTTTGCTCCTATTCTTTAGCGAGGTTGAAGGTTCAATCCTTCGTCCTTACATTTGTTGGGCTGAAAAAATCAATAAAAACTGTTTCTTGCTTCGTGTTCCAATTTCTAATTTAAAAAATATATAAATAAAAGTATTATCTTATCACTTTTATAAAAATAATAAATATTAGAAACTTAATATAACATAATTGTTTTAAAATATATAATTTTCATGTAAAAATTTTATTTTTTAACTTTAATATTTAAGAGAACTAAATGGTTATTTATTTATTTTTTCCAATAATTAAAAAATACAAAATAGAAAATATATACCAAACACAATTCTATTTTTATTTTATAAAATAAGAAACATGAAACCAGCATGAACCTAGCTCACTGATAATTGACACCTACTACTTTCTAGATCGGAGGTTCAAACTCTGTACCTCTAATATGTTGTAATAAAAAAAACAAACAATATGGACGTGATGTCAAATAGACAATTCTTTTCTTATTTTTCATCCCTCCTTCCTTGTTTACTCGTTTTTATGATTGTAATTAAACGTATTAAAAAATATATTACTACAAAAGAATTTTAATCATGAATCTAATAATTATACAAGCTTCGAACCCATTGTGTCCGTTTAATCAAATTCAAACTAGGTTGAGGTTACGAAATTATTATACTCTTTAAAAGAATTGAACACAAAATTTCAAATATGTATGCATGTATGTATTAAAGTAATTTTCAATTTGGTTCTTAAAAAAAAAAAGGAAAAAGAAAAAAGGTCGTTACAACTCCCATCTATCTCCTTCCAAAACAAAAAAAATGTTAAAACTTATTATCATAAAGTTTTTTATATTATTATTATTAAGACTTATTATCATAAGTGAATTAGAAACTCCAAAACAAAAGACGGCACTCTTTCTACTCATTAATATATTTAAACTCGATACGTACATTTACAATAAACAATTTTTGCTATTTTCTTCTAAATTTTGAAGTGTATTTTCAAGTATTTGAAAAGTTCTGAACATTTTTAATATGTAATAAACATTATGGAAATTCTGGGAAAAAAAAAAAACGAAAAAGACACCGGAGGACTTTTCATCCTTCTCTATCAAACTTCAACGTTCTTCACTATATCAAACTTATCGTTAAGACTACAAATAAGAATGTTACCAAACGGATTCTTAATTTCATTCATATCGATAGAACTAACGCCCTTAAAACAAGTAGCCCCGTGAGAAATAAGAATGTTACCCGGATTCCTAATTTCATTTATATCGAAAGAACGAACACCCTTAAAATAAGTAGCCCCCATGACAAATAATAAGGTTACCAAACAGATTCTTAATTTCATTTATATCGAAAGAACGAATGCCGTTAAAACAAGTAGCCCCATTTACAGGCATCTGAACAGAGAGATGTGAACCATCTACATCAGCTGGTTTCACATCATAATTCAATTTTCATCCAACTCTGTAATGAAGCTCCTCCCCTACTGCTTCTCCTTCAACAACTCAAAATCTTAGCTTATTTAAAGGGCTTCCCTCCATTCTCATGGCAGATTCAAAGCCAACAACCCTGCCAATCTGAAAAAAAGGGAAAAAAGAACATCACACTAAAACCCACTTATTACTCAGAAACAAGTTTTCATGAAGCCCATTGGCATAATACCAAGCTTATTTTGCTATATGTTAATGAAACTTAGTAGAAAAGAATCACCAAAAATAGAACCAACGACTTGTCCAAGAGATGGTGAGGTATATATATTAAATATGATGCTATGTAGAGATTTACTTTTGGGATTTTCAGTCAGTGAATCGAAAATATTTACATTTGCTTACTAAAAGTGGCTTGAGGTTGTTGAGCAATGGTAGCAAAGGTAGCAAATGATGCGCTTCACGCCTTGACTGCCCAGTTAAAACGCCAACTATTCTCGGCCGCTGCCTTTCCTTGACCGAATGCTGCTTCATTGGCATATATGGAGTTTCTTGGTCTTATACTTCAGTCTAGAAGGGGGTTTGATCATACAGAAAACTTGGCCATCACTAAGCTGGTAGCCGTGAAAATAATATAGAGCACAACAAGGCAGAATCCCCAAAACCGAGGCACCCGAAATCTGTACCAAATAATTACAAGTAGGGAACCCATCAAGCTGAAAAGTAGGAACACAAATGCAATCACGATTCCGATATGGAAATGAAGCTGATAGGCCTCTGGATAACTGTTAGCTGTTTGTATAACCAAAGCCGTTCCGAGCCCAACGAGCATGTTAAACATAGGTCCGGCAAAGCATCCAGCCATAGCCAGCAAAGGCTGGCCTGCTTTTGCAAGAGCAACATCAGCCACAAGATCCCCAACCGAATTCCCCCAGGCAAGCACGGTAAGCCCGAGTAGAGCTGTCGGGAGTTTGAGAAGCACTCCGAGAGCTGCAAGACAGTTGAGAAGTTCTCCAGCAACGGCTGAAATCCAAAATACACTCATAACAAATGCTGCAAGCACGACGGGGACTTGCTCAGTTTTGGGGGGCTCGGTTTCGGTGACAAAGTGAACAATTGCAAGGGAGGAGCTTGCTAAGAGTACCACGAACCAAAGAGGTAAATGTGTATGCGGTAAGAGGAAAGCAATGGGATAATTAAAAGGCATGAATGAGTTACAGGAATATAGAAGGGCGACGGGACAGAGAGAAATATTTGCTGATGTAAAGAATCTGCTCCATTTGGAAGGTGCGGGTTGCGGAATGGTGAGCTTCAGAAGAAACGAGACAGGAGCCTCCCATACTTTTGGGATCTAAGCATGCAGTAGAAAGTAATACATACATCAGCAGGGAAACAAGGTGCATCTTTTAAAGCAAAAAACGTTCTATTTGGATCGGTTTTAGTATCGATAACATTCTAAATGTAAATTTTTTTTTTGAGAAGCAAGCACAGTATACATATATACATAACGTGGAAAGAAACTTGAAACGATTTAATCTCTTTTATCATGGGTTTCAGGCCAAATTTTCATTTCAACCTGCATAAACAACATTTATCAACATCTAAATCCCAAAACATGAGTAAAATTTAGGCTTCATTATCTCAATTCTGAAGCTATAGTTCTAAACTAAGAAGTTGTAGAAAAGAGGATAATCACAAAACCCTATCTCACACAGCTCAAAGTCATTTCTAAACTCATCGTCCCCAGTGGAAATTGCTATGAGAAGATGCAGGTGAAGAGTAATATCACTATTTTGATATGAACCTCTATAGTGTGTTGGTAACTAATTTTGGCGTAGCCAAAATCACTTTTTCTATTTTCTAAAATCACCAGTACATCATTATAAAAGATTACTGTTTTAAATGGAAGTGGTTTTGACAATGACAAAAGCGATGTTTGAGCATGTCAAAACCACTTACAAACATGCCTTAATCTTTAACACACAAGTGATTTTAACTATGCCAAATAACTCTCATGACCTTACCTTAAAAGGAGCAACTTTAGATTTATATGTGTGAACTAAAATAAAGGCACGAAAATGAGTTTGACTAATCTTGGATCTCCTCCCACGACCAATCAAAACCTTTAAACAAATTGGCAATGTAACCAGTTCTATCGAATGAGCTTAAAAAGAAGTATTAAAATAACATAGATCATCCTGAACCTCCTCCTACAATCCATCAAAACCTTTAAACAGATTGACCATGTAATCAGTTCTATCAATGAACTCGAATAGAGGTGTTGAAATAACCAGATCATCCAGAAGCTCCATCCATGATGTATCAAAACCTTCAAACATATTGACTGTGTAACCAATTTTACGAATGAACTTAAATAAAGCGCACTGATCCCAAGCCATCTCCTATGATCTATCAAAACCTTTAGACAAATTAACTATGTAAGCAGTAGATAGAGTAGAGGTGTTAAGATACCCAAATCTAAAACCTTCTCCCACGATCTAACCTTTAGCCAAATTGACTAATCAATCAAAACATTAAACAAATTGACCAACTAACCAGTTCTATGGATGAACTTTAAAAGAGTGTTAAAATAAGCAGATCTCGAACCTCCTCCCACTGCCTATCAAAACCTTTAAACAAATTGTTTACTTAACCAGTTCTATGATTTCATTCCTATTGACTGAAACCAAACTAAACAGTCTAAACCATCAAAAAGACCGTTGCAGTTCCCCATTTATAATCTACTGCAGCAATACTAATGATTCTCCACTTCATCAAATCAAATTCTTGCAAGCGATCAAACAGAAAAAAAAAAATGCACCTAAAATAATTAATCTGGTATTGTGGGGAATAAATATACCATTCCAAGAGCTTCCCAAAAGCCAAAATTTGTCTTTTCTTCATCCAAATTTTTGTAGCCTTCTCCAATCACACAGTCTAGAGGCACCTCACCGTTATAGACCGCAGCTTCTCTAGCCACTCCCATATCAGCCCCCCTCTTAGCTTTCCCACTTCCCATTCCCAAATCCATCCAAAACACAAGCCCAACAAAGAACAGATAGAATCCAACAAACCCAACAGCTTGCCAGAGAAAAATCTCCGCACTGAGATACACATAGAACAAGAACAATGCTGCAGTCAAATAAAACAGCACATCCCTCACAAACTGAGCCGGATTCACCGAGAAGGGAGCAGCATAGATGGCCACAAATCCAACCACAAAAGCCGAAACAAAAGTGCCCGCGGAGAGAATTGCACCGAACCCAGTTCGATACTGTCCACTACGAACCGCGGCAACAGATGCGAATACATCGGGAGCGCCATTGCCCAACGCCAAGAGCGTCACGGCGGCCATACTCGGAGACAAGTTGAGGTGGAAGGCGAGCTTGGAAGTGACAATGGAGAAATGATCCTGAGCGGTTTTGATGAGGATGTAGAAGTGCAGGAGGAGGAGGAGAGTGAGAAAAGGGACGGAGAGAGATGGGTTTTGGTTAAAGAAGCAGAAATGGAAATACAAGTAGTTAACGAGGCCATCGGAGCGGAATTCGACGGAGGAACAAGACGGGGTCGGCGAGGCAGTGGAGTTGAAATCGCCGGCGGCAATGAGAGACCTTCTGGGAGGCGATTCCGGCGACCGATTTGGAGTGAATACGATGAAGAAGATGAATACAGAGAGAATGGCGAGAGAGAGAGCGGAAGATTTTAGGAATGGGAGAGAGATTGCCATGCCATTCCCGTAAATCAAAACATCTCTCTCTCCGACAATGGCACCGGCGCGATTGAATCTGAGAATGGGGATGTGAGAACTCAAAACAGAGTCAAATTGAGAAGCAGAAAAAGGAAGAATCGTGTCCGGATTCGCCCTTTTTCTGCAAATTCTTGACGCGTTTTACAAGAGTGAGTGAAACAGATTTTGAGGCCAAAAATTTTGGAAATCAATAAAAAAACACTTTCGGTATTCTACTCTTTTTTTTTTTTTTACAACAATTTAGAAAAATGGGATCCAACGTTATGTGTATCACTTTTAATATTGAATTTCCTATTTAATTGAATTGCACTTTGAAATTTCAGAAGTGTGGTAGCCTTCACCATAACACTTTATAATGTGTTGTAATTTTTACCGTTTCGTTGGAAATTTGTTAAGAAAAGTATTATCATATCTATCAAATGAATTACAAACACAAATTTGGTACGAAGTTGATAGAATTAAGAAAAAAATGGCAATACATATGGTTTTGTTTGTTTGTTTTTTTTTTCCTTTTTTTTATGGCTTTTTATTGGAATTGGTAAGTTTTGGTGGAGTGTCAATTTTGTACGTTGGTGCAACTTAATTTTGTGTGGAGCTTGATTTCTTTGAATCAAGGAGTTTTTGAAATGTCTTTTTTTTAAATTAAAAGTTTAGGGTGAAAATTGACACAATTTGAAAGTTTACGAGTAAAAAATGAAATTTCCCCTTGAGTTATTAAACTTCAATTACTCAAGTAAACATTAATGACCTTAAACACAATTGTTAAAGACATTGGTGTACCATTGGAAGCATCTAGTTCGGTTGGTCAAGATATTACTTATATTTAAAAGATCAGAAGTTCAAATTGTCCGCCCTATGTTAACTAAAAAAACACAAAAATATAATTATTTTCATTTTCTTAAAATGTCATATTACACATACAAATACGTGGATTCAAAGTTGAAGTAGAAATGTCTTAATCATTGAGCTATGTTTTATTAACGGTAAATAATAATTTTAAAAATTACAATAAAACAAAAGTTACAATGGTTTATTTAATTATTCATTCATTTTTTTTTGTTATTCTAACTAAATTTATTTATTAACTATCATCAAAATTACCATTCAACTTAATTTTTTTTTCTTTTTAACTTAGCCAATACATTTGATTAAAAACTTAACACAATTTAAATAATAATTATTGAAAACGCATCAACTTCAACACAAACCAAAATAGTTTTTTTTTTTTTACACACCTTTTTTTAACTAACCAAAATAGTTAAATTAGTTAGTTGTACAAAATATTTCAATTGTACAAAACATATTTCTTTAATTAATTATGACACTGCACTACTAAAAAAAGAAATGAACTTGTGAGATTGTATAGCGTGTGAATTTAGAATTTAAAATAAAACAAATTAGCTTATTTTATTTATATGTGTGATTAAAAATATAATAATGTTTATTTAGTAACTAATATTTTAAGCATGCATAAATTAATTTGAATACGATTATCAATTTAAATTCTTTTTGAATAATTATTTTGTAAAATAAATATTTAATTAGTTTTGTAATTAATTTTTTATAACTATTTTTCGAACTATGAATCATCTGACTAATTCTTTGTTCGTTCAATTTTAGTTTTCACTCCTAAAGTTTAGGAATAAGTAAGCAATTGTCGATATATTGAATTAATTATTTATTATTTGCATATCACTCACCAACTCCACTAATACAACACATAAAATTCAGCAAGCAAAATACTCAAAATCAAGAAATCTCCAAATCTGAGGCAAGAAAATATCAAAAATTAAATTACATAATTACGTAAAGCAAATGCCCATGAACTTATTAGAGCTTGATCAATTGGTAAATATATTGGTTCAAACTTGATTAATTTAAGAAGCTACAAAACTAATTGGAAAATTAGGGGATAGTTTTTGGAAAATTCTTGTTCAATGACCGACACAACGTAACTGTAACTTTTATACTCGTCAACATTTTTTTACCATGCATCTAACGGTTATGAAAGTGATGGCACATTATAATTTCTAATTTTCGAGGCATCAAAATCAAGGGCTAGGCCAAAGTTATGGGGAAGGGAGAATTTCAAATGAAATAGGAATGTATCAAAAAGTCCAAGCAAAACTCTCTTTCTATCGCTATCTCATACATGCTGCAATGCAACTTTTCTCCTGTCTGTAATTTTCTAACTCAGCTGAACTGAATTTTCTGTATTCTCATATATGGAAAAGGTTTGAAGTTTTAAATACCACATCAAGGCGTATTCATCGATATTCCTCTGGTAAGCGATACCCCGACATCACGATCTTATCAGCAAACATCTTGCCAGTCTTCGGCATTACATGCCAATGCAGCGTCATGTTGAATTCTTTACCTCTGAGATTGCTTCCCTACAAAATCAAAACAGGATATGACAAGATCAAGTTCATGTAGATGAAAAGGTAAGTTCATCTAAAATTGCAGAGGTAGCCCACCTGATCAATGAACCGGTACTTGTTTACAGTGTGAATAGAAAACCTTGCATTTTCTTTGGAAGGTATTATAGCATCCCACAGCGAGATCTAAAAAAATGATGTAATAACAACTCAATAACATAAGCAAGGAACGGATAGCAATCCAGAAGATGTGTTAATGGAGCTTACCTGGTTCAAGGAATTCTTAGGAGTCTCATACTCAGCAGCTACAAAAACAAAAACCTGTAAACTTGTGTTAAAATCTAATAAACCCATTCATTTCATTCAGCTCATCGCAATATGTAAACAAACAGTCGACTCGGAAGGAGATGAGAGAATTGCATATTAATGACTAATAAGTAATATAGCTATAGTATATTAAACAGAACAGAACACAAGTACGGATTACAATAAGATTTCCAGAGTGGTGTTAGAATCCATACTACGAAATCTGTGGAGAAAAGGAAATAAAAAAAAAAGCACAAGCTATACAGCTCAGTTTTGATCCTCAGTTCAAGTGTATCTAGAGCCATCCAAATACCACAAAAATCACAAGAGAAAAAGGTCAACAATAAAATAGGTTATTGCCAAACCTGCTTTGTGTTCCACGTGAATAACGACTGCATGTCCGCCGATATATTTAAGGTCATGCTGACCTGCACAGTTAATGGTTTTCAGCACAGACTGTAAAGCATAAGGCTATAATAAGTTTCAAAATTATTGAGATGAATGACTATCCTCATTAACAATACAATCTAAAAACCAATGGACAAACTATCAATTACACTAATATTGCATGAACAACAAATATTTGATACTTAATACCAACTTAAAATCCTTTTCCTTGCTCGACTATTGCAATCAAGAACCAGAGAGAATTAAGTGCTGCATTTCAAATAATCCCAAGAATCACCATGATTCTGATAAATATTTTCTATTTTATGGGGTATTTGGCTGGAGAGAAATGGGACAATATCTAGAGGGATTTGGAGGTCTTGGGAAGAGGTATGGGATGTGGTTAGGTTCAACTCTTTCTTTTTGGGCATCCATCTCTAAGCCATTTCGTAATTATTAGTTAGGTTTTATTCTTTTGGGTTAGAGTCATTTTCTACACAGTTAGGTTTAAGACTCCTTTCGGCGGGCTGTTTTCTTGTATGCACTTGTATCCCTCTCATGTTTCTTAGTGAAAGTTTGGTTTTTCATTAATAAAAAGATAATAATAATAAATAAATAAATAAACCATTACGAGTTGCCAAGTGGCCTCTTTTTATGTACCTCCATATAAGTTCTCTGCAATTAGTTTTAAATAAGTGTTCCATTTAAGAGTATTCTACCTTTTTTTCTCAATTTTGGTGTTGAAAACTGATTATAGATGAGGAAAATAACAAGTTGAACCTTATTGGACCTTCAGGAAAATTTTGAAGATGGTCAACGAAAATTACAAACGTCTCATGATCTTGTAGGGGAGGGGAGAAGATATAACCTACATAGATATACAATTTTTTCTCCTTTTGATGCTAAAATATACTCAAAATACCAAAGGACCTGCAAAAAGAAAAGCTAACAACAGAAGGACCAAAACGACAAACCTAATAACCTATACTACAGATTTAAAAAAAAAAAGGCTCCAACCAACCAGAATAATGACTAGATAACATAAATCCTTGAAATCAAACAGCCATAAGAAGCATTAAACCTAGCTAAAGCCCAAATCTCCACTAAGACCATTCAACCCGTCTAAAAACTCTTATTCCTCTCAAACCGCATACACCAAAAACATTTAAAGAAGCAGATCTCTTGTATTGGTTCTCCAATGCTGAACTGGAGGTGGTATTTGCCTTTAGGATTGCATTACTAAGGATCTTAGGAAACTATAAAGCGGCCCCATCCCCAATTAGAAATTCTAGAATTTCACCATGCCCTATGAAAACATGGACAGTAAAAGGCTAGGATTCATAGGTGTAAATTAATCTGCCAATGCCCCAACCAATGCAAAAGGTCGAATCTGGAATGGAGAATGAGTTAATAGAACTAAACTGGAACGATTTGATTTTGAAACTTAGGAACCCAGAATGAGTTCAAAATATATCCTTCCCTATTAATTCATAACTTGTTTGTCCTCGAGCATCGAAGAAGCTGATAGTGCAGTAGCCATGAAGCTAGACTACTAACCCATAAATTCATTCAATATACTCATGTACAAAAATGTGACTAGCAAGAGCACAAACTCCATTTTCATTTTTCCAAGAGATTCCCAGATTCACAAGAATCAAACCCCAAAATTCCGTAACCAAATCCAGAAACAATCACATAAAAGAAACAATTTGCACCATTCAATTCAAAGATGAACCAAAAGACGAAACCGAGAGGAATCTCCAGAAATTTACCTCGTCATTGCCATGAAGCTGCTTCTGGAACCACTTGATATTCAAAACCTAAAACCAATCAGAAAAAATAAATTGCATAACAAATTTCAGCGTCTCCCTGAAATCAGACCGAAACCCTAAACATCTGGGCCACAGATCTAACAAAAGGAACAGAAAACAATAAACGCAGAGCAAGAACGGAAGAGTGGTCGACCTGAATATGGGCGGTGGGAGAGGGAGAGTTGAAGTTGTCAGAGAAGGAGGCCATGGCGCACATAATTGCAAGAATGGTGACGGCGAAAGTGACCACTGCATTGGCTCGATAACCAAAAGAATGCATATTTTCTTTTGGTTTCTTTATTCTCTGGAATCTGGTTCAAATTTCTTCTTCTTCTTCTTCTTCTTCTTCTTCTTTCTGTGGTTCGATTCTTCTTCTTTGACTCGATGGTCTTTTGGTTCGATGGAAATGGCTGCCGTTGCTTCTTCGAATCGAGCATGGAAGAGTTGCAGAGTTTTATTTTATTATTTATATTTTCTTTTCAAAAGATGAAATTAAATAATAAATTGATGGATTTTTCTAATTATTTGATTGGTTGGGACACGCATTTTGATTTATGTAACTGACTTTTTTTTATTATATATATTAAACGTCTTAGGGAGGATTTTGTAACTCGTATTTAGTTTTTGATTGAGAAAGGTAAAGCATTTTGACAATTATTTGAATTTTTGTTTCTTGATCTTTTAGAATGGATTCTAACATTGTATAGAAATTTTATAAAAATTAAAAACAAAATCAAAATTTTAATTTTAATTTTTTAAAATATAAATAAAAATATTGTTTTATATTCATGATTTATATAAAAAGAATAAGAAATAGTTACTCAATTGAATTTTAATATATAATAATTTGCTTCATCTACGGTTAAATTTGTAATAATTTAATTACTAATTTCTAAATTTTAGTAGATATGTCGTTCCTACTAAAATATATATATATTTATATATTTATTTATATTTATATTTTGTGTCAAAAAAGCTGTCTTGTGTCAAAAAAAAATATATATCGAACTAACCACTCTGACTGGTTAAGTTTATATATATTTGACTAAAATATCAGAGATTTGAATCTCTATCCTTACATGTTATTGAATTGAAGAAAAAAAAATTTAGTATGTAATGATTTAGTCTATAATATGCAAGATCGGTAGAGATTTAGGGCTTAACGATCTCATTTCCTGTTTCTCATTTATCTTTTTTTGTTTCCTGTTTCTTTTTTCTATTTTTTTTTTTCAGTATTAGAAACATAAATATGTCTGGTAATCATTTACGTTTTTTGTTTCTTGAAAAAGAGAAGAAAGAAACAAAAATATGTTTGATCACTATTTCATACTTCTTGTTTCTATTTTTTTTTCCTACAAAAACTTGTAAGGATGGGATTCGAACCTACTACAACCTATTGACCTATAATTTATAGGTTACTTAGGTTAGCTAATTTTTATTTTTAGTTAAATAAAATATAGTAAGTATAATAAAAAAGATATAACATAGACTCGAAGAATAATATTTATTAAAGAAAATATAATTCAGAATATAAATTTCTGATATAAAAATATCAATTATTAGTTTAAATAAAGAATAAAATTTTAAAATATTTTTAATTTAAAAATATAAATTTTTTGTTTAATAAAATTTAATAAATTTAAATAAAGAATAAATTATCAAAATATTTTAAGCTAAGAAATATAAAACATAAAAAAAAGAAAAACAAATTTATAATTTATTAAAGAAAATATAATT